AGGGCGGCTTTTTTTGCGAGTTTTTTTCAAGTGATGTCGAAGAAGCTCGCGGTCTGAGCTGCTCTTGCACTGGTGGCGGGAGTGGGGCTGCGGCGGTTTCTACGCGTGTATTTGCATAAAGGATTGGGTGCCGGCTGCGCCACCGCCTGACGAAAAAGTTCGCCGGAGCGCGCAACAGGCCAGGCTCATCAGCTCATCCCGCGGCAGCCCGTGTCGGGCTCTGATCCGTGTCCTTCGGAGCTGGCAAATCCGAGTGCAAGAAACGGTCCTCAGCCTCTTACTTGACCTCCTGGGCATGCAGCTCCGTGGTCTTCTGGGGAGCAGGAAGCCACATGAAAAGCGTGCTGCTGTCAGGCACAGAAAGCCTTGGACATTGCTTCTCAATTCGTGCTGGCGAATAAAACCAGTTGCCTGGATAGCATTTGAACGACCCTGTCGCTTGATCACGTGAGTTTCGGATTTGGAACTACTGGCAAACCTGCATGGCCGTGCCCAAGTCCATGCAGGTTCTCAAAGGCTTTCTTCAGCCTACCCGCAGCGACTTGGCAGTGCAGTTCCTTTCTGTCAAATACCTTCGAACTGGATGAACCGGAAGCGTCTCTTTGCAGCACTTTTTTCTCGCAGATTTTCCAGGTATCCCCTAGTCTGGATTTGCGAAGCAGCTGGCCGGTTGGGCCGCAATGAGCTCGCACGGATGCTTGGCAGAGACTCTGTGCGAGTCAGCGCGGTCTCGACTGAACTGGTTCACTTGTTTTCGACCTCAGCCTGTTCACTGGCGAGCTCATCGTTTTCTTTGCTGACTCGCAGTGTTGAGTCGACTACTGTTTTCTTTCCAGCTCCCTTGTCTTTCCCGCTTGTATCTTAGCCCGGAGGTCTTCCTCCCAATTCTGACCCTCCACAGCCGAAGTGGGTGGATTGATGAGCTGGACACATTTCGACACGATGCGGAATCGCAGAATGTGGGAGAGTGGTCTCACGCGAGGCTCTTTTACGCTGCACGTCAATCATCGCTCCCTCGTGGTTCCCGTGCGTGGCCCTCTGGTCCCTCTAATTACAAATTGCATTCATCCGTTTTTTGTTTCAGACAGCGAGCGGTTGCGGAATTCAATTCCAATTTCCAGGCACAGGCGCTCGCCAGCGCCAGCTAACGAAGAACCGCTCCTTCTCGATTGTGCTGCTTTACAGGACAATTCCCCCCTGCAGCATCTGTGTCGGTCAATTCCACATTTCAATTACCCGCAGCTTGGTGCAAAACAGTGTTGCGCCCCTTCGCTGGCGCCACGAAAGGAGCAGCTGCGTGACCCTGCCAAATCTAATTCCACAGTGCCCAATCCCAATTGTTTGTCAAGCAGAAACTGGGCCACGTCACACCTTAAGCCAAAATCTTCGCCCGAGCATGCCGCGGTGCATATCTCACTGCAGAACACGCGGGCAAGTTTTCCAACATGCAGATGTTTTTGGAGTTTAGAGTTGGGAATGCTGGGAGCTCAGGGTTGTTTAGATTCTTAACAAGCTGTTGCACGCTCTCTCTTTTGACTTGTAAGTCGTTTCGTCCTTCGAGCACCTTGCTGGTGCAATCGCGGGTGCGAGCTGAAGTGCGGATAGTATGAGGGCCTCGATCGTGCAATGCCTTCAGGTTGGGTCTGTTGCGTCCTGTTGTTCAGCCTGTCCTAGATGACGAAGGGAACTGCTTGCAGCAGGGCACGGGTACAGTAGAAATGGGGAAAGGGGAGAGAGATTCTGCGTGACCACAGAAAAGCTGCTGGCGGCAAGAAGATTCAGGATTCAGCTAGCTACAAAAGGATCTGATGGGATGTAAAGCGTAGCTGTGATGTCAGATGAGTCGTACCTGATTGCTTGTTCCATGCATGCCAATTACTGAGGAGATGTGTCGAAGATATCTTCAGATACAGGCAAGGGTCGCAAGTGAAAAAGGGGCATGCCATGGAAGCCCACAAGTATGCAGGCACCCGCTGACCAACAGTGGCTTAGTGTCCGAGTACACCTGGAACGGAGCCTACGAGGCCTCCGTCTGCAGCCTTGATGCTGCGTGCATTGCGCATGAGCGGGCCCAAAGGCATTTTCAATTTGTAAGAAATTTGAAAGTGTGTCTGCATGCTGGCGAGTGGTTTGAGAACGGGCGTTATTGGGTGCACGGGGCACATGAGTGAGACTGAGAGATGCTAATATGTCATGTGCTTTTGACGACGAGGCAGACTTCTTCGCCACTGCAGTGGTTGCAAAGGCTGTGGCGGTTGTGGGATATGAGGAGATGTCGCGGCAAGTCCCTTTTGGCCTCCTGAGGCGGCCGTTCTCAGTGGTCATGAAGCCGTCGCAAAGGCGGCGGCGGACTCGCTGCTGCGTGCTGTCGACGCCAACAGGACACGAACCTGGCAACTCAAGCCTCAATATCTGCAGGGGATCAACGTTCATGGTCACGCACGATAGGACTGATTCTGCAGGAGACATATGGCAGCAGGGCGTTTCTTTCTGCGCTGGACGTGGGAAGATGGATTTCTGGAGCGAGCCGACGTGCCACGCCATTATTCAAAATAGGTCCCACAGCGGAAGAGTAAACAGCAACAACCACAAACTAGCAGCATACTGATATCATTCAAGTGGAGCTCCAAGTCCCATTTTGGAAGCCTCTGGTGCAATGCAGGCCGCAAGGTTGAGCCTTCACGACCTGCGGTTCAGCCCAATCCACGGTTTGTTCAAGCCTTTCTCTTTTACGGGGTGACACCGCGCACTATGGGTGCAGTAACGTTGCGGGCGATGGATAGTGGGGGACGCAGGTTTTCAATCGGGGCGCAGAAGAAGGACATATTAGCTGCTTCTCCTGATGCTAGCCGAATCACAACAAGTGGATGCATTGAGCATTTGCGGAATCCACAACCATTCTTAGATAACCCCAAGTGGCAGTCGATCAACAGTAGCTCTGACGGTTTTGGAGTTTGCATCAACGTTTAGGCTGAGGACTAGGGTTTAGCCATTCTAGGTCTCTAGTTCTGGGTATATGCCGAGAAGCGGTCGGGAACTCGCAGCATTATTTTCCCATCAGGGATTTGCGAGGGTCGGGGCCAAAGCCAATGGGGTCTGCAGCAACTTTCAATCGTCAAGTGCTCCAGTTGAGCGCTTTGTCCCTCTTTCCGTTTGTGGATTTTAGCTGGAGGCTTTCCCGGCTTGGGTCAAAGCTCAGGATCCGAAGCAGACGGTCTAGAGCTTCTCACAGGGCATCGGTTCCGGATGGCTGCTGATGTCAGCTGTTTCTGAATTTGTTTTTGGCGTTGCACTGAAGCCTTTTCCAATCTGGTTCTCGAAGTGGATCATGGCAGCTTTGAGCTGGACGAAAGTCTTCGTAACTACTGCGTGCCGTTGCTGAACAGCGTCTGTTTGTTTGTTTGTTTGCGTTCGTTTGTGTTCGTTTCCTCTAGCTATGCCGCCTCTTCGTCTACAGCTCACGCTGCGATTTCAGTCAGCAGGGGGTGCCAGGGATGCATGCTGGACTGGCACCAGCGAAGACGCCAGCGTTGCATCTGTGAAGCGAGTCAGGACACTGACTCGTGTACCTGCAGAACGTTTGTGACATAGTATCCTACAAGCTGTACATGGTTGACATCGTGTGATATCCTCGCTGTGCAACTCAGGATCCTCGACTTTTGTCTTCATGAAACCATCGGTAAGGTAACCTCAGCCTATGGAAGACCTCCATCACAAGACTTTCCTTTTGTGGTCTCAGCTGAGTTTTCTGAGCTCAGTTTCGAGTTGACTTCACTCTTGAGAGCACATTACCAGAAGCGTGGGTGTTCGAGTGTGTTCGTGCTTGTGTGTTTATTCGTTTGCTTTTTTTTTGTTGTGTCTGTGTGTCTGTGTGTGTGTGTGTGTGTCTGTGGTCCTGTCCTTGTGCCGCTTGTACCAAGGACCCGCTGTACTGTGTGAGCACACTGGGGGAGAAGCAGTACCTGGGCAGGAGAGAGACAGTAACCGCAGAATTCTGCTTCTCCGTGCGGTTGTGCCAAGGCTGTACTTCTTGCTCGGCTTACCCTCAGTCGTGCTGTTGGAGGTGGCAGCCTCATTCAGGCAAGATCTATCTCTCCGGAATTTCGATGAGCTCACGTTATGTAAGCCCGAAAATTAAAGGTATTCTCCATGTCTTGCGACAGGAGCATCGCTGACTCGGCCAAGAAGCAGTACCAGACGGTGGCTCACGAGCTGCGGCTTGACAGCTAGCAACTATCGGGTTTTTGAGGCCGTTGAGGTGCCAATTTAACAAGTCCCACTGCAAGCAGCATTCGTCTCTTACTGTGCTTGTGCAGGCACCCATTTCTATTGTTCGCCTTGACTTCCAAGAAACCCGTAGCATCATGTGAAGCATGCTGTAGCTACGCCGACACCTGCGACAGCAGTGTGGGCTGACAAGGGAATGAGGCAGTACTAGACTGACTATTTGTAGTGGCTCGACCCCGGCTGTCGACTTCACAACACTTTCCAGCAGCATTCGCTCCACCGCCAGCAGGCTCCCACGACTGCTAATTTCCAGCTAAGTCTACGAGTTAACGACTAGGAAGGACCGTATATGGGGTGAAAGCTGGCTGGGGGCTGGGGGCCGATGCAAGTGGGTGGCTCGGTGCGGTAGTGCATGTTACTGTCTGTGTTGCCTTGGCAGCGTGGCGCTGTTGCGAACCCCTGGAGGTTGCAGTACCTCAAAGGTTGCAAGCACCTGTTCTCAGCTTCCACATCCTACACCTGTGCGACCGCTGCAGCCATGCTTGGCGACCAAGAGAGCACTGAGCGCATGAGGAGCGGACCAGGGCGAGTTGAATGTTTCACTTTCCAATACATCTGTGCCACTGGAATCCAGTGCCAAATGGCAGGAGCAGAATGATCGCACTCCAACTCGGCGACGGCAGTTTTCAATGTGAGACCTCGGAACTTGACACCGTGCAGAACACAGCAGAAATCAGCCTGGGCCCTGGTCGCAGTGTTGCAATTGCTGATGTGTCCTGCAAATCCCGAGAGGTACCTGCCTGTGCCGCATGGATGGCTACACACACGGAAAGGGGCTCGAGATCGAGTTGAAAACTGAGAGCCCTTCCACTTCGAGCTCGCTCAGACCAGCTGGAGGCTCTGCAAATCCTTGCATCCGAGCCCACCATAGGCCACCTGTAACTCTGTAGCTGTGCCGCCCTTGGCCGCAGAGGGCCAGCGCCGGCGGCCCAGCCTTCCGAAGGCTTGGGAGCCACAGGAAAACTCAGCAATACGCCCAGTCCCCGAGCAGGCTCTGGAGCCCGGGAAGTCGACTGCAGTTTCCTGGCACAGCGAGATTTGAGAGTTTTCAAATCGTGGAAGCGCTCCGACTCCGAGGCTCCAGAGAGGCGCCCTGCGAGTTCCAAGTTCTCACGCTCTCCGCGCCGACCTGGTGCCTGGGATCGCTCCTATGGCCCTATCCTAGACACGAGCAATCGCTAGCAGCTACGCCGCAGCTACGCCCGCTAGCTGCTGGCGGCTCCGCGTCTGTCTTGGTGAACTGTAGGTGTGCGCGGTGCGGTGGCTTCTTGTGGGGACTCAGAGACCAGGGCTCCAGCTGCAGCCGCTGTGGTGAAATCGACGCTCGGCTTTACAATAGTTTTGCAGGTGCCATGGGGGGGTGCTGTGTTCCGAGTGCTCGAATCCCTATCATTTGAGGTTTGCAGCAGCTGTATCGGTTCCTCAGACACTTGCAAAGGAGCGTATGCAACATTGAGCAAGACGTGGAGATCCGGTTAAAGCTTGTTGCGGCAGGAGCTGTGCGCTTGTGATTGCGCCGCAGCGTCCACTCCGCGCAGCTTGCAGCTGTTTCACTCCCCTCGCAGAGTGCGAAGTGCTATGAAGCGGTCTTGTTGTGATGAACAGACTGAAGCGCAGCGGCTTTCAATGCTCGACCAAGCACTTTGCCAACTTATCACACGCCTGTTCGCGTAGGGCTTTGTGCCACAGTTACACTAATCAATCTTAGTTCGCTCTGTCCAGGAACTAGTACAGTGTGTTCCTGCATTGAATTGATGAATAACAGCGGTGGTGCAAGCTGCATGTTTCTAGCAGGCTAGCTAGCCCACAAGTGTGCCCGCAGCTTCGGTGAAGCCTCAGGTTCAGCCTACGAACAGAGGGCTCGGATGAGGCTATGCCGGCTATGCTTCTCCAGTCATTGAGCGACTGCTCGGTTTATGATCGCGACACTTCACAGGAAGCATCCTCGGGCATGCTGGTCTTGCGCGAGGCTCGACCGGCAATGTGGCGCTCACGCTTCAAGCGGCATTGCATTTGCCTGGAGCAGGATCGCCTGGAATTTTACAGAGGGAGAGACATCGTGTCTGTCGGGAGCCTTTAGAATTAGGCCGACGGCCGTACGTGCAACTGCAGTGCCCATTCAAGGACGACGACGAGCCAGATGTGAGCGCCTTGATAGACGAAATCGAAGACTTGGAGGTCCCTTCACGGGAGGTTTGCTATTGGAAGTACCACGGCTGAGCCTGCGGTGCGAGACTCCTGGCCTGGTGATATCTGCTGATCCTGCGGCATGTTGATTGCTTCCAGTTGATTTGCATGAATGGCTTCGTGCACAAACCAATCCTAGTGACTAACAGCTTAGACCGAAGGCGAAAAGTGGCGAGCAGCCCGCCATTGTACCGTATATCTCGCTGCCTGCTCATGCTGCCGTTTTCTGATCTGAAGAGCTCTCTTCGGGCTGCACCTATGCCGCTGCAGGATGCTGCACGCGAGAGGAGCTTAGTTGCTTAAGGTGTGGTTAGTCTTACGTCATCTTGCTTCCTTATTACTTCTTCGGTCTCCTTTCTCGTTCGGTCCTCGTGTTTTTCTATGCCAACCGACTGTGAGTCAATTGTCAGGTGCAAGACATGCAAGAAGCAAGCCGATTCATCTTGCAGTCGCCCGCAGTCGCTTCCAGACAGAGTAGGCATCAGTCGTGCATGTTGGACATGCTTGCTAGTCGCGAGTGCGACCACATTGGGATCATGCACCACATGGAAATTCTTTGCGGGCATCTCGCCGCAGGGTACACGAGCTTCTGGCGTTTTGTGTTGTTGCCTTTCCTTTTCGAGGTCTCGGGAGACGGTCGTTGTCATCACCTGCCGGCAAAAATGAGAACCCATCGTTTCTTCTCGATTCGCACGATATCCCGCTGCAGGCAGACGGTATCAAATGCTGAAGCTCCATGACCCGAAATTCAGCTGCGCCATCGTCATTTCTTGTTTGCATCCGAATCGTGGAAAGTGCTGACCATGAAGCACCGGGGAGGCAGCAGAACATGTGCGGTCAGCGATCCGGAAAACTACGGCTGTGTGAATCTATTCAAGACTCTGAAGCTGGACTATGCACAACATGCTTCATGAAGCTACGGCAGACTCGTTTCTCTATCATGGAGATCGCCAGATTCCTTTGCGAAAGAACCTATTACCTTCGAAGGCATCTCGACATGGATCAATTGGCAAACTGGCCGGCGGAGCGCCTCTCAGCAATGTCATCCTTTCGACCCTACACCTCGCAAGTAAATGCGGAGACAGTGGGGCTGCACTGTTAAACCGTTAAGCCGCAAGCGTTGGCACAGGTGTCCAATGTTGTGACGTCGACAAGCCACCGCAACACAGATAGTCCACTGCAGCACGGTGACAAGACGGACAAGATTTGTATGTTTCTAGTTCTAACATACAAGCACGTATGTATTTGAGTACAGCATGTGTGCAGAAAACATGCATGCATCTAGGCTATATGTGTATGTGTGAGCATGTATAAGTATGTATCTGTATATACATATATATATATATGTATATGTACTATGCATGCACGCATTGCAGCTTTAGATAGTTCTTGCATGATCCCACTTTGAGAAGATGTCGAAGGATCTTTGGGTCGACATAAGTGATCCGTGCCGGAAAACAAGCATAGTAGCGATGATCCAGCGGCTTTGACCTGCGGATACCCGAAGTCTTGCCAGATCTTGCCCGTTTTGTCATGCCGGCGCGGATCATCATCTGCCGCAGGTCAAGCAGGATGTTTTGGCCGTACGTCTCGCAGACCCGTCGAGGAGACGAGTTCTGAACCGGTTCGATTTAGGACCGTAAAGCCGTTATGAACTACGATGAAGGATTCTCGAGTTGGTCTCACCTCAAGGCAAGACAATGGAGGCCCGTCCACTTATCTTTGTCTGCAGTGGGGCTGCCTTGTGGGGCAGAAATGGTAGGAGTGGTACCGAGAACTCCAGCATGTTTTCGATGAGACCGCCTCCGTGTGGCACTCGGACGCAAAGCCGACCACGCTGGAACGCCAGGAGTCTGGACGAATCTGTGCATCTCGATGAGAAGTGCATGCTATGTTACAGCTGAGACTGTCATGGTTTGCTGAGTGGGATGTGCAAAAAATACAATACCATGTACAGCTTGAAGCATGAAATATCTTCGGATGGCACTGTGTTCTTTTCTTGCCGACATGTGTTCACCACATGGGGTTTCCCAGACACCCGCCCGCGCACACACGCACATCCCCGTGCACAGGCACCTGCACACGCATGTGCACATGCACCCACACTCACTCGCTCATTTACACTCCGACCTTGAAGTGACATGTATCCATCGTTGCCGGGTCCGTCTTGTAGTGCATAGTGGCAACGTGAAGTCATTGTCGCACATCCCATGCAGAGCCAGAGTCAACAAACACGATGCGCTGTGTCGTCGCACTACCCAAGGTCCTGGGCCCCCAACGGTTGCGTTGTTTCATCTGTGGGTCTTGGCTGGACCTCGGCTCCAGAAACTAGAAGACGCGGATCGTGGCGGACGTCCCCTCCCCTCGGCCTCACCACCCGAGCAAGGGTTTCCCCTCCCACTGCGAGCACATACTTCTGTAGTGGGGTGTGGTCAACTGTTAGTCCGTCATGTCCTGTAGTGAAAGCAGTGAAATCGTTGCGGCATGTCCCGCTCTTTGGCGTAACGGGCATCCATCGTATACGCAGCGACGATGTTCCTTGTCTGTGGCATTTTCTGCGGCTTTATTCAGTGATGTGCCATGGATTGAGTGCAGCCTGCCTCGATGAGTGTGAAGTCCTAGCATGCGTGCGTACTTTTCTCAACTAGCAGGGTTGTTCAAACATGTATGCAATGGTATGCAGGGCTGGTGAATCCCTGCTTCGTGGTGGATTTTCGACGGACTGGAGGTTGACGGAGGTTGCGGTGTTCAGATGCTGGTTGCAGCGTAAGGGGTCTTCCTCTTGTATTCGGAAACATTCCAGCAGTGCTCCTGGATCCTCATGAAACCACGAACAGCGGCGATAATGCACGATGTCTCTGCCAGAGTTTGTCCAAACGGGTCTGCGGGGTTGATCATACCCTGCTTCCTCAAAGACTAGGTGGCTCTTTCTCACTCGGCCCCTGATCTCGTACCAGGTCGCCGTGTTGTAGACGCTAGCACTCGTTTGAAGAACTTCTCGCTGCGACTGAAACATCGCAGAATCGATTTCTTTCAAACGTAGACACACAAGCACAACTATGCCAGCACATACAGCCATACATCCATGCGCACATGCACACATGCTCAGTTTGTTTGCTCGCTCACTCCTTCAGTCGCTTACTCATTATGTCACAGACTCGCATGCTCGCTCGCTTTTGCTGGTCCTGACAAGCCAAAGACAGCTGAAGTCGCGTGTTACCGAGTCCCAAGCAGCTGACGAGGACAGGGCACATCTCTTAAGACGCTGAGCTTTCAATTCGGCTTGCCGGTTTGCTGCCCGTGCGGCAGGTGCATTGCAGCAGATTTCATGCAAGTTGTGGTGTGATTGGACATGGATTCAAGCATGTTGGCTCGAGAGGTGCCCTGAGTGGTCGAATGCCGCATCGGAAGAAACGTGGTTCGATAATTCGTGATAATTCGCGAGTCCATGAATCGCGTACACCCGCGTAAAGTAGAATGTGTACAGTGTACCGTTGTGTACCTGTATTGAGCTTTACTGCATCACAGCAGCCTGCCTTCACACTGCGCTAAGTTATTGGCTTTGAGAGGCGAGGCGAAAGCTAGCGAGACTGTGTAAGGACACTCAAACTTTTTAATGTTCAGTGAGGACCCGAAAGCAATCGTCTCCACGGATGTCCGGCTCCCAGCGAAGTCACCACCAACTGCAGAACAGAAATAGCCACCAAGTCACCGAGATTCTACTTTCTACGATTTGCGCAGAGATGATACGTACTACAGCTGATCAGATGGGACTCGTCCAGCAAGAGCCTCTGCAGCCGAGGAGACCACTGCCAATATTGCGAAAGAGCTGCTGCAAGTTGTGAAGACGGTCCCCACATCAGCTAGGAGTGTGTGCAAAGGAAGCAGCTACACAGCTTCTTTGTCATCCCTTGTGAATGTCAAGAACAGCACGAAGCATCTCTCACCCGTGCACAGGTGAACATCATGTTGAAGACCGAGCGCACGTTGAACGGACACAAGGCTTGGCTTGAAGAGGAAATGTGGGCCAGCTGTCTTTCTCTGCAGCGGTAGGTTCAAAATGGGTCTGACCTTCACACGGCACTTCGACAGGCCTGCTTCTACTGGTCCAGCCTCTGATACTCAGGGTCTTCGGCTGCCTGCAGGACGAGCAGCACGTCAAGCCGGAGGATTTAGCCGGATGCTGACCAGTCGGCAGACGTTGTAGAGTTGCAGGCGTTTGTTTCTGACAGCTGCTGCGCTACCCAGCCCAAACGCAGGCCTCAAGATCCAACCATGACCAGAACATGAACCGGCCTTCGAGAGAAAGGCGAAGGAAGCCTGCTGAGAACTACCAACACACCATGGCCGGCCCAACCGATGGGCCATAGACTAGTCGCCTGGTCCGCCTGGCTCCATGGCATTGCAGTAACGTTTCCTGCGATGCCAAGATTAGTCGCAACCCGGTAGGAAGAGACTCCGGTCGAAGAGGTTTCCGCCTTGCCGAGGCCAATGCGTTGAAGGACTTGGGAATCGGCCTCACAGATGCTCAAACTGCCAGAGTCTCAAAAGCATGAGCTAGAGGCATGCTAGCGGCTAAAGCACATTGCATGTGACAAGAGAGCTTGTGTCTGCGATTGCCTGAGTAGTCTCACTCACCGACGATCCAACATACGAGCACTTGCAATTCTCTTGGTTCTCTGGTGCTGCCCGAACTGAATCTGCAGCAGCGAGGTTGACTAAGTCAGCAAGGCACTATCATAATATTGTTGCGTAGTCGAATTAATGGGTAACAGTGCGCCGGGGACGTTTCAGCCACTGGATTTAGCTGGCGGTCGACATAAATGCAGAAATACATGATGCATGATGCGAGTTGAAGCCATTGGAAGCGACACGGTCTGCAGGCAGAGGTATGTCACAGGAAGTCATGGGCAACGCTCAGGAGTACTTCATCCTCTCAATGGACCTACATGAGGATGGCGGTATCACGCAAGACGAGTTGCTCAAGGCAAGCATGCCCGTCACAGCTCTGAGCATCAAGAGGGGTGCGATGCAGCTTATTGACGTGCAGAAGCCGTTTCAGCTGCCGCTTGCATCTTTGCATGTCGGTGTTGTTGTTCGATCGTGTACACTGCGTGTACATCAGAGACAAATGGACTCTCCATAGACTCAAGCTCCTCTTGCAACCGCGTGATGCTGTGTAGTACTGTTAGATGACAGAACGCCACCTCTGGCTGAAACCTGCCATGCTGGATGGTCGAGGGTCCAAGCTGCAAGCGTAAGGCTGAGAGGCTGCAAGTGCCTTGGAAGGATGTTAACGCTGAAGTTAAAACTTTGGTCGTGCTGCTGATCCACATTGAGGTGCTGTTGTACCAGCGCGTGCTGGCAGTGCTGGCGGCATGCGGAAGCGATGCTTCCGGCCTGGACCGGTGCAGGCCTGGTATGCTGGATAAGATGCCTAGGCCTAGGCCTTTGTTGCCGCTCTAGCGCCCAAAACTCGTGAGATTCTGCGGCTCTTGGCGGCAGGGGGCAGATCGTAAGGAAAGTCACGACAGTGGGGAAGGCCAGCTCAGGGCGAGCATCGACAAATCACGGGTGATCATGGGTGACTCATCTCCCCAGGAGCTCTTCCTCGTTCTGGATAATCTGGTGATTCGACTTCACTTTGGAATGAGCGGTGGTGCAGACTTTCTGTGTGACTCGACAACGATAACTTTCGGCCTGTCTGCAGGCGAGCGCCCCAATTGAACAGTGCTCAGGTGCAGGACGTGATTTACGCAGAGCTAAACGACAGCCTCGATCCACAGGAGTCGAGTTTGAGTTCTCGAATGGGCGTCTTGAGCTCAGAACCACATATGGTACAGAAACTATTGCGCCGTCAGCAGACTTTACTGCGGTCGCCTTGTTGAGGGCTAGTACTGCGCGATGCCACAGCCAAAGTTGCTACGTTTGCCTACCTCGCAAAATGCGATGCACGAAGGCGGGGCTTAAGTTGAAGTGTTGCCACGTTGCGCAAGACACAGTCCAGGCCTTTCGACATTCTCAATCCCAGTTTCGACTGGGAGGGTGCCATCAAGCGACTAAAAGAGGCCGCCGCGGACCGGAAAGTCTGCGACTTGGTCATGGATCAGCTTCTTCTTCCTGGAGTTGGAAACGTGATCAAGGACCGGCTGTCTGGTCGAGATATCGCACTTGGAACCAAAAAGTCGATTGACTTGTTAAGGCATCACACCATGTCTCAGATTTTGCAAGTGCGTTCTCGTCAGGTGGAGGGCCTTTTCACAGCAAGGATACATCCTCTCACTCCGGGCAATGCGCTTAAAGACAGCTCCTGGTGGGCTCTCCTGCGTGGCCTGCGTGACTGTGCACTGAAATGGTACTCTGCGCTCAAAGGACCGTGAGCGTTGATTGTCCAGTCACGTGTTCTGCTTAAGTATTCCAATTTGCAGATGCAGCATTTCACACCCCTTCACAGCCGACGAGCTCGAAAACATCCGTACCTCACGAATTTGTTCGTGAAGCACACTCACTGTAATGTGCAGTCCAAGCAAGGCTTGGAGACATAGTAGGCGTTGGGTGTGGCAGATGTAAACCCTCACTACAGTGATCGACCAGTCATGTCGGATCGTATGCTGCTTGGTTGTCGCGAGTTGCCGGTGTGTGTGTGTGTGTGTGTAGACGCGTGGACATGGCGACTGTAAGGCGTAGCAATTTCCGCAGCTTTCGTGTCAGCGCAGGGGGTTTTACCACGGGACCGCTCTTTCAAAAAAGCAGGGGGCAGCAGAGAGTCCACAGTTCTGCTGCCAACGAAGACGGCTGTGGACACCACGTGAAGCAGATTGGGACGCCAATCTGTGTACCTGCTCTAGGGTGATATGCATGTTTTGCATTATGGCGATGAGGCTAGGCCAAAAGCCTCAACAATCTGCCCAGTGGCTATATTTCTTCACCTCGATTGCAGTAATTATCAGATGGAGGATTGCACAAGTGCGTGTAAACGCCTGGAAATGGCGACTGTAAGGCGTAGCAATTTCCGCAGCGATCGTGTCAGTGCAGGGGGTCCCAGGGCTGCTACTCATGCTGGGACCACCGAAGACCATGAGTAGCAGATGTGTAAAAGTACTTGCTAAGAGGAGTACAGTACCTGGGTGGCTGAGTCCGCAGCTGGTATCCTCCACGGGGACAGAACCCATATCACTTCGCTGACAGCAGCATATGCCATTCCTTGTGTCTGGCACGACGACGACGCGAAGGGACGGGACCCTAATCTCTCAACACATTCCATTCCTTAGGTCTGGAATGAGGGACCGAAACCTATCCCATTCTGGGCCAGAAACCTAGCCCATGACGACGACCTGTTGCAATCTGTCAAAGTCTCGTCTTGTCCTGTCGGTGTTTCTTCGCTGCAGTTCGTGCCGAGCCAAAGTGTGTGTCGTTCTGGCTTACCCGAAATTTGGGGTCAGATCAGAGTGGGCAATCGCCCAAGCCCGCGCTTGCGGATGTAAGACACCAACGCTGCCAACTGAACGTCATTGTGCAATCATGTTCATTTGTTGAAGCTATCCGATGCCATCATCTTGGTCATGCTGGGACTGACGCATCTGGTTTCGTGACGAGCAAACTCTCGGCTTGCAAGTGAAATGCGTTTTTTTGCTGGGTTTCAGGTGTCTCGCCTCAGGCAGGTTTGAGGCAGTGAGGGCTGAGCATGCTGCTACGTGATGATCCATGAGTGAGTGCATGTGCCAGCGACGGTGTTTGCCTTGTGCTTTTCGGACGTGCACTCTCAGGGTTCCTTGTTTTCCGGATGGGGTGGGAGGACGATGGAGGACGTAGGTAGTGGGCTGGACTGTGAGCGCACAGTTTACTGTACACATGTTGAAGTGTTCGAATTCCTTTTCGCTGATTGATTTTTCGCACGGGCACTGGCGTCTTGCCACCGGCCCAGAAAAGGCCTCACGTCACCGGCCCATCGCTCCTGGGCACGGGCCCACTGCTTGCACCTACTTAGTTTCCTTGCGAGGAAACAAGCGCACCGCATTGCAATTGGCAATGCAACCACATGTTTGCATCTGAGATAGCCCTGGTTCTTCCAGGGCCCCTGTGTCTGTGTGTAAACGCCTGGACATGGCGACTGTAAGGCGTAGCAATTTCCGCAGCTTTCGTGTCAGTGCAGGGGCCCCCGGGGCTGTTACTCATGCTGGGGCACCGAAGACCATGAGTAGCAGATGTGTAAAAGTACTTGCTAAGAGGAGTACCTGGGTGGCCGAGCCCGCAGGGTATCCTCAGCGGAGACAGAGCCCACATATCCTTGTAACGTGTTACATGTTGCTGCCAGCATTGCACTTCGCTGACAGCAGCATATGCCGTTCCTTGTGTCTGGCACGACGATGACGCGGAGGGACGGGACCCTAATCCATCAACACGTTCCATTCCTTGGGTCTGGAATGAGGGACCGAAACCTATCCCACTCTGGGCCAGAAACCTAGCCCATGACGACGACCTGTTGCAATCTGTCAAAGTCTCGTCTTGTCCTGTCGGTGTTTCTTCGCTGCAGTTCGTGCCGAGCCAAAATGTCTGTGTGTGTGTGTTTCTGTGTGTGTGTGTGTTGTGAAGCTATATAAGTGCGGCAAAGGATACTTCTCGTGAGCGTATGATATCGTGCGAACAAGAACTTCCATCGTTAAGCATGAATTCGACGGCTTGGTCGGTTTCTATTTTGACTCACCACACCCCCGGTGGCCTGCGTGATGTTGAGGTTTAAACAGCAGGCCTGGTTTCTTGTGGGGTACATGACCACGAGGAGTATGTGCAAGGCAAGGTACGTGCAGAAAGAGTATGAAAGAGTGACTTCAGTATTACAAGACCAGCTCGAGACGTCGCAAGTGGCCATTGCCGCCGGGACCAAAACGCCGCCCGAACAGTGTCGGAACATGGCACTGCAAGAAAGCGACAGGCATTTAGCCCTGATAAGGGTGCATGCTCCATCGCTGGAGCATGCCAAAGCTGATTGGGTCCCACCTGCATTGCCCAGTCTATCAACCACTCCGTGTTTACATTGACTTCTTTATCTCTATCTTTCCCTCGTCGGTCACCTGTGTACTATTCGCTATACCTCTATCCCAGCCACACCACCAGATTGGTGACGGATGTTCAGGGCTGGATCGCAGATTTTTGGACATCGATGCAGTACGGAATTTTTTCTCACTCTGGTATTGAAGCCTGTGTTTCAGCATGCTTGGGGTCGGTGCAGAAACGTGCTTGCAAGTGGCGCTTTTGGCAAGTATTTGTGGGTGGCAGCGTTTCTGCAGGTTTCGACCGAACTTATGATTCGCCTGGATTTGTGCTGAAAATGAATGACAGCAAGTGTGCGGAAGCAGCTTTTGCTGATGTGGTGCTTGATAGTATGCTTGATGGCAGGACGAGGCAAGCTGTTCAAGGTATGCTACGGAAGGACGCTTGCCTCAAGCCGTTTTATTGTCTGGCTGCAGGGTTTAGAAGACTTGCGTTTGCAAGACTGTGCCACCTGCAGTTTCATTGCGCACTTGCAATGTGTTGATCCAGTCAGATTCGATGACGTATGCTTGCAACCGAAGCCTGAAGATGCCTGACGATACCCGAAGATAAGATGCGGCACGATGCCTTGGAGTCACTGTGCCAAGTCTGCGACTCCGAGTCGAGCATCTCATCGGAGCCGAAGTTCGAAGTTTGCGCCGCAACGAAATCGCTTTCACTTTGCTATCTTCGTCTTCGATACCCATCCGCGATCATGTGGGCGCCTGGTGGCACCCTGCAGGAGCAAGCTAGTGTTCAGAAGAATCTCAAAGCCATATCGTGACGAGCGCGCAGCCCGCCGGTGAATCACACTGCCAAGCTTGAAGCTTTATGTGGCTTCAGGGCCTTGCTCTTCGTATCTGTGCTGTACATCTTGGGGAGTGCCAGCACAGTTTGTGATTTGACTGAGTTCATGTCGGCAGCTCTGGGGAAAGCATCTCTACCCGACGCTCCGAACGACCCCCACCAAACCATGCTGAGCCAGCCCTGATAACTAGTTTTTTGTTGCTATGACGAATGCTCTTATGACGTATCTACGACTATTTCTGTTTGTGTTATTGCTGCTCATTGCCAGTAAAGCATTGGTACTGAACATGGGTGCTATGTTTGATGTTATTGGTAATGTAGAGGATTGATTTCTGGCCAGGGGTTTCAGATTTGTGCAAGCGCGCAGGGACTCTAGTTTTTGCTTAAGCACGAGTGTTTTTGTTTGGATGAGTTTGGGTTGCATAGGAATGAATGTAATCAATGCTTAGCATGCATGTTTTGTTTCAGGTTGATTGTAAGGGAATTGCAATAAATACTCAGTCTGATTATTTTGGGTTTCAATGGTTTTGGTTGTGTAGCTGGAGGTTGATTAGATTGTGGATGGTCTTTCGTAGGTTGGGAGAACCGGTACTACATATGATTAAAAGTCCTATGCTTCCTGATAATCATATTCCCACTACTCAAACCCTGCAACACAACAACTTTAAGGTTTTGGGGTTTGAGGTTTAGCGTTTGAGATTTTTTGATTTTGCTATGGTTATTGATGTTACGACCGCTACTATTATCACTAATATGCTTTTTCCAACAATATCAGCATTAATACATTGATTGTTGGTATTGCGACGAACAAGTCTTCAATGCGCTTCTTTTTCAAGTGTTGTTTGGTTCATGGTTACTTTAGCAATTATCTCAGTTATTGCAACTATGATTATGACTATTGTTACTATTACCAATATGCCAATTCTTACTTTCGTTTTCGCTAACATTTTTCATCATTATTACTACCAGTCCATTACTACTACGTTTAACTGTGTTGTTCGTACTCTGATTACCATTGTTGCTATTTTCACGAGTCTTTTTGTCATTGCTGTTATTGTTACCTTTTTTGCTACCAGTATTTCTCGTCCTCTTGCGGTAACTACACTACTACTACTACTACTACTACTACTACTACTACTACTACTACTACTACTACTACTACTACTACTACTACTACCAACAACAACAACTATTACTACTACTAGTACTGCTGCTATTAACTATTTCATTTCATTCCAATCGCAGCCGGTCGCTCAGCTTGGCGTCAGGTATGAGGCCGTGCATTGCACCAGTGCTTCAAGAGCACAAAATGCACATGGGCAAGTCCCGCTACGAATAGCTGCAAACTTGCGACCTACTCAACTTGTCAAGAGAACTGCGCATTGTGGCACAGATATACATAACTGCACAGTATAAGTACTGATGCAAGTGTGAAAACTGTGGTTCACCGAGCCATCGTAATGGTCCAAATTGTAGGCGAATGTACACTGTACAAGCAAGGCTCAGCGAATGTACAAGTGGTTCGGGGGGCCACGCTAAGAGTGGCCAATATGGCGCAGTGACTTACCGCTCACTGTGCTGGGCCGGTAACGCAAACTCAAGGCGCCTCAGGGTGTCGATGTCCTCCTGGGTGAGGCTGGCTGGCTGCCGCCTTGGTGGTGTAGATGGCAATGGTGATGCGATGTCCCTCCCAAGGGCGAGTCTCGTGCCTTTGGTGCGGATTGCGGCATCTCCAGGCACGGCGAGATTTTGCACATGTCCGCGGAGGGTGCCATTGATGGGCCATCACCATTTGGGGATCGCAGCCACAGACCACCACCTGTGAAGGACGAACAAGGCAGCACCACATTGACGCTGTCGTGAGCGTTATTGAGATCCCGGTGGGCCCTCATCGAGGTGTTTCGTTGGAGTACAAAGCTTGTGAAGGGTACGGCGGTGCACGACCTAACGTACTTGCAAACCAACAGCGAGACCCACGGAAACATGATAGTCTGATAATATTCCTTCGCAGACCATATAGTGGGCCTTGTGAATAGGCGCCACTCAAGAAACACATGCTGCTCTGCGAAGTTCGCTGGTGGGGAGACTACCACAAAGTACTTCCCATATGCCCATACGCACTTGGCCGCTTGCGAGCATGTCAGCAGCGATTCGTTCAGCGACATGGGTGGGGATCGGCATCCCATGTGGCAGACGTGATCAGCAGGAGGCAGCTGTTCATCCGTTTCCTCCTCCATACGACGATGTCACCACACTACTGATAGTGAAGCACAGTGAGGAAGCTCGAACCCCAAAGAGGTTGGTGCAGATGGGGGTATTGATGTGCTGCAGTCGGTGACACATCAACATTCCGATGAACCTATGAATTGGGCACAGTGATATCTTTTTGAGCAATGTCCCGATGGCCCTGGCACCATCCAGCGTGGATGAATTGCATGCAAAGCTGAGTGGCCAGTGGCTCACTATAGTGGACAAGCCGCACTGAGTACCTGCGGCTGTGTATACAGCGATGGGGGTGGGGCAGTTGGGGGTAGCCGTGGGGCCGAGGCAACAAATATGCAAATTTTTCTGATTTTTTGAAACTTTTTGGAGCACAGGCTGCTTTCGCGTCCCCCCCACGAACGGCTACCTCTCTATGCTCACTGCGCCAACCTGCACAGCAGGATGAGGTAGCATTGCTGACCAATTACAGAAGCATGCGCTACCGCTGTCTTTATGGGCTCTATGGGCTTACTGTCATCAGCTTTCCACTGTGGGGGTGCATGCGGGGCAATGCGGGACGGGAGGTGGTTGATGTATCTAGTGGTGTAGTAGTGCCCGGCTTGCGCTGTCGCACCACACACAGTGTAGGACACACGCTACCGCTGCATATGGGGCACCTTCGCACTCCGCGCCGGTGTGTGAGTCACGATAGCCGATAGCAAGGGATTTGGACCAAGGTGGGCACTCCTACTCTAGTGTGAAGCTTAATGGTGTCTCCAGCCTCGGTGTCCTGAAAGCGTGAGATGCGTAGGAGTAGGACATAGTAGGACTCGAGAAGGGTGCGTGCAGGCTTGTAGGTATGTTCCCCCATTATGCTGTAGTGCTGTTCTCTAGTTTCAATACCATCAATCTCACTGACTATGCGCGACTCCCATCTGCCTTGAAGAACTAGTGGCCGGCCCGCTCTTAGAAGAGACTCCAGAAACTCACAAGCGCCATGCTGCTGATGTAAATTGACCCAATTACGCAGCAAAGGTCTCCAGGAGCGTATAGCATGAGCATGGACTGGCCTGCGTGTGTGATATACGTCCCGCCAAGCCTGTTCCTAGGCAACGTATTTGAGGATATCAGTAGCTGACAGGTGGCTAACAGCGAACGCACACTGGCATTGAGATAGCATGTATTCCTGCTGTTGAGTAGCCTAATCAGGAGAATTCGGCCAATGCTTGTTGCACAAGCCCTGCAGCCAGTGACTGCTTGAGAGTGTCGCGGCGGAGCTGCAGGCCGATAATCTGTAGTGCCGAGAGCCCCGTCAGAGCTTCCAGGAAATCCCAAGCCGTATGATTGCCCTTGGTGCGGCTGGAGATGTCCAACTCAAATGACGTCATCCCCGTCATGTTTCCTGCCAGTGGTCGCGTGGGGTGAAATCGGTGGATCATGTAGGGCAGCATGATCAGGGGCAGGACTAGCTGAAGGGCCACCAGCTTGGTGTGTTGAAGAGGAAGAGGGGGACGATCCTCGTCCACCACGAGGCTCCCCAACGCTGGCGACCACTGCGGATAGCACCAGTGGCCGTCCTTCAGCCACTTCATCTCCTCTGCCTTTGCCTGGAATGGTGTGGGAGTCTCGGTGCCGATCGTCTTCAGCCCTGAGTGCAGCATTTGAATGAGGCATCCGAAGAGTGTGGTTCGACGAGCTGTCCTCCTCCTGTGCCTTCTTCCACTTCTGCGCGGCTTTGAAGAGCAGCGGTAGAGGTCCCTGATTGTCCGGCTGGATGAAGAGGACCCAGCTGTAGTCCTGGCGCAAGATCTTGATGGCCGTCTCCTGCTGCAGCGCTAGACGCGCCAGAGCCTTGATCAGGTAGGTAATGTTTGGTCCGTCCTTGAAGTGGCCTTTGAACGGCCTTTGCCCCCACCTTTGTGCCAGTGTGGTTTGTGTGTGTGTGGCTGCCTTTCCTTGCTCTGTCCGCGAGGCCTTGCGGCCGAGCTGGGCTCCGCTTCCCTTTCTGGGCGTCGTCCATTCCATCGCATACAACTGTGCCTCCACAAGTGGGCCGAAGACTTCCTGAAACTGATCCATGCCTGGCGTGCAGGAGCTTGAGGTGCATCAAGCTTATCTGCCAAAGTACCGTACACTTTGCAGGATACTGACGGGGTTTTCAGATTGTGCAAGCGCGCAGGGACTCCAGTTCTTGCTTAAGCACGAGTGTTTTTGTTTGGATGGTTTTGGGTGGCATAGGGCATAGGACTGAATGTAATCAATGCTTAGCATGCATGTTTTGTTTCAGGTTGATTGTAAGGGAATTGCAATAAATACTCAGTCTGATTATTTTGGGTTTCAATGGTTTTGGTTGTGTAGCTGGAGGTTGATTAGATTGTGGATGGTCTTTCGTAGGTTGGGAGAACCGGTACTACATATGATTAAAAGTCCTATGCTTCCTGATAACCATAGTCCCACTACTCAAACCCTGCAAACACAACAACTTTAGGGGTTTTGGAGTTTGAGGTTTAGAGTTTGAATTTTTTGATATTGCTATGGTTATTGATGTTACGACCGCTACTAATATCACCAATATGCTTCTTCCAACAATATCAGTATTATTACATTGATTGTTGGTATTACTACGAACAAGTCTTTACTACGCTTGTTTTTCCAGTGCTGTTTGGTTCATGATTACTTTAGCAATTATCTCAGTTATTGCAACTATGATTATGACTATTGTTACTATTACCAATATGCCAATTCTTACTTTCGTTTTCGCTAACTTTTTTCATCATTATTACTACCAGTCCATTACTACTACGTTTAACTGTGTTGTTCGTACTCTGATTACCATTGTTGCTATTTTTGCGAGTCTTTTTATCATTGCTGTTATTGCTATCTTTTTTGCTACCAGTATTTCTCGTCCTCTTACGGTAACGACGACGACGACGACGACGACTACTACTACTACTACTACTTCTACTTCTACTTCTACTTCTACTTCTACTTCTACTTCTACTTCTACTTCTACTACTACTACTACTACTACTACTACTACTACTACTACTACTACTACTACTACTACTACTACTACTACTACTACTACTACTACAAGCATCTCGGCTGTCCAGGTGCCAAAGGACCACACGTGCCGACCAGCTGTGACCCTGCCGTGTTCTTGGAAAAACCAACCATTTCCGGCATAGAGGGTCCATGGCATTTACTGAGCTGCTTTGCGCACTGCTAATATGCCTGATTGGCTGGAAAGCGGCCGGAGCCAGCAAGCTGGCAATGGGAGTACACCTTGGTGGCCAAGCTCCAACAAGATGCCAGCGAGCCTTGCCAGGGAATATGCACGCATCCTGTTTGGGATGCCAGAGCACAGAGGCCACATCCTGCGAGCCATTGAAGAGGCCATGCTGTCCCAATCGGATGGATACACTGCCAATTAACATGGACTTTTTCAATGCCTGGTCAGTGCGATGGAACGATCGACAACACCCGCTCCGAGCGCTGCAGGCTCGGAATCCAGGTTCCCACCGAACGAGGACTCCCTCTGGAAATGGTGCAGACTGCATTATCCGGACCTTCTGCCGGAACTATGGCCAGGTGGTTCGAAGGAATCTGCTGAAAATGGTGATGAGCGAAGATCCCCGAATCTTGAAACCATGGACTGACTCAGGCGAATTCCACCCCCGGCCTATCTTCCCGAATCCTAAGTCTCTCTGTCCAGGGAAAACCAGCAGAAGATGGAGACTGCGAGCGCCCTCGCTCCGACGTCGCCGCAGGTACACGAGACCTCCTTAGGGCACGATGCCGTCGACGGCGCAGGCGATTGTGGATGACACTCTTGGCTTCCTGGCACCAGTGCCCCGCTCATGTTTTGGGTGTTCTCAGAACCAGTGGGAGTTATGGCTGCAGCAGTGCTATCATGATTGCATGTCTTGTGTGCATCAGATGGAAGCTTCTCCTGTGTGCATGGCTCATAGCGGGTGGCACTTCAGCTGCAATATGGCGGACCCAGGGTCCGATAGCGAGGCCATTGACTTGGCCGAAGAGGCCAGAGGTCATGCTGGGTATTGGGACCAGCTCCCACCACTCCACATGCGACTCCGCTGCCCCGCGGCCCGCCGCCCCGACCTATTCAACATCAACAACATATGGCGTTCCACGTGTCGGGCATGGAGCGCGGTGTCCCGATCAACCAAGTCCTCACCCTGCTGCCAGATGCGTGGTGGCTGTTTCGTGACATCATGGTGAGGATCGATGAGTCTCGCCCAGCTTCGCACAGCATCCCAACATATTGACTACGGGAGATCTTCCGGATGGTGAGGGTGGAGAAGAAGAAGAAGAAGGAGATGGGTTCAGCGAGGACCCAGATCAGGCAATCGCCGGGGATGAGGAGACCCACATGGACGATCACGAGACCAGGGCTGCTCGCGAGACCGCCAGCACTATGACAGAGGAGGGCCGATCCATCATGCGTCCGGCGGAGACTGCCCGCTGGCTTCGCTTTTGGCTGATCTGCCTGAAGACTTCTCTGAGGAGGAGGACCTTGCGATGGCTGGATCCTCTTCGGACGTGGTGTCCATGACGGCCCTTCGAGCTGCTCCACATGGACCTTGGAGCACAGAGGCTACCGCCAAGCCGAAACCAAAATCGGCAAGAAAGCTCGGGACTCAATTGGTGTCTTCTCTAGTCGAGCAAGAGTCTGCTTTAAAGCTTCCTTCGGTCAACACTTCTGCGTGCCAAAACTCGGGCCTAGGCGACCCGGGAGGACAGAACTGAGTCGCCGTAGGAATGCGCAAAAGGCAGGTGAAGCCGGCTTTGCTTTTCCTGATCCACGGAACACCGTACGGCCGGATCAATCTCTCAATGTACCTCACGGACACCGGCAGCAGCTGAGCAAAAAGATGCCTAACACTGCCCAGTACATGAAAGCATTGCACCGACTTCTCCTTATACATTGATACATGTTCTGTGCATTCTTATTTGGAGCAACTCTACCTCCTGGCTGGCAAGGTACCCTATGTGTTCGTCGATTGCGAATTGGGCCGGTGACTCACGGACACTCAATATACTGTGCTCACCGAGTATGCGTATAACATCTTTCCTCACAATATCTGCAACCTCCATGATCAGGATGGCTTGGACAACAACCGCACCGCTCCTCCTCCTCTCAGCAGGCTGGATTGACAGCAGCATCACAGACAGTCTTTCGCAAAGCAGTGAAGCCAATATTCGAAGGCACGGTGTACGACCACCACTACGACAGCTGGACTGGTCCCAAGTCCAGTCGTGCTTGCAGGCATTCATGTTGTCTGATTTATGTCATTGTTCTGTTCTTTATCTTTATTCCTACAACTTCAGCTGCAAGCTCAGATGCGAGGGTTGACGTTCATCCCACTAGGACGGCTGAAGCCGATTCGGCAAAGCGAGTGGGACCATGGGAGGCCAAAACCCCGGGCACGCAGTCAGGTATTTCCAGATGTGTGAAACGTAGCTACAAAGGTGCGCGGAGCCTTTTATCGAGGCTATATGGCGTCATCACCAATGGTTTCAACCCACGTCTTTTCGCACACAGCCACTGCACAGGCCGATGCAAAGGCAACCCCTGCTTATATAAACTTATGTACCTGGAATGCAGGCGGATTACATGCATCGGTTTTCCGCGAGCTCACCACCTATCTCGCTGATGAAGCAGTTGATGTATGCGTTGTGCAGGAGACACGTTGGTCCTACGACGCCAACTGGAGCACTCAGCAATTTCACTTCGTGCACTCCTCGGGACAAAATAAGGAAGACAAGCACGGTGGAGTACTCATCATAATCTCCACTAAGGTGGCGGCGGTTTCGGAGTTGCAATACCATGCAATTTGGCCGGGTCGCCTACTACACGTGAGAGTGAACAAACGTCAACCCATTGACATCCTGAATGCTTACCAATATACGGCAAATGACAATCAGCACACCCCCGAACGCAGGCAGAAATACTTTTTACGACTTCGACACGCTCTCAGTGGTATCCCAAGCCGTCATGTTATGATCTTGGCCGGTGATTTTAACACAACATGTAGTACCACTTCGAAGGTGTGTGGAAAATGGGTTATGCCTGCTAGCGAAGCACACAACAAGGACAACAGCGACTTCATGTCAATCCTCATCTCGTACGGGCTTACAGCACTGAACACCTGGAACAGGCAAATCCACAACCAGCTGGCCACCTTCACCTTTGGCACGCTTGCGTCCCAGATTGACTATGTCATTTGCCGACAAGCTGATGCCAACAACCAGGCCAAACAGGCATCGGTCGTGCCGCACTTCCCGGTTGCATGTGGCGAGAAGGAGCCAACCACCACCCGGTGCAGGCCCACATTCGCATTCCACATCATACCAAATCTGCCCCACCTATCCATAAGCCAGTCAGGATTGATGTCAACCGCATCATCGAGGACCTCCGCCAAACAGAGCCCACGCAGGCCCTCAAAACTCTTCGTGCAAGCATCAACCAGGGCATTCAAGACGAGGGATGGTGCGCTCTCCCTCAACTCGAAGAGGGTTTACTTCAGGCCGCCAGGGAGCTCTACCCCAAGCACGTCGCCGTCCCATCGACCCAGGAGGCGGATCTTCAGTTGTCAAATTGTGCTCGATGTATGTGGGCCCTCTTCCGGGAGATGCGAGCGCACTCCTTCAACATGTACGGCGTCTTCCATGCATGGAGGCAATGGTCTCAGTTCACCAAGGCACATCGTGAACACAAAACTCGAGCCAAAGAACGTAGCAAAACATGGCGCAAAGAATTGATCATGAAGGCCCAACGTGCTGCAGAGAACAACAACATGTTCCAGGTTTGGGAAGTGATGAAAAGATATGGAGCCTGAGCCCCACCACAACAGCATCACATCAGACAACACGATCCTGTTCTGATCGGTCCTGAGGAGATCTGGCATCAACTTGAGCATCTACCAGTTCGTAAGGCCGTCCCCCCACACACGGCACCCTCAATACTGTGGACAGCTTGTTCGGCGGAGGTGTCTGTCTTCATTTCCCAACAGGTCTGCTCGCAATGGAGCTCCCCACTTCTACATGTTCAACAAGAGTGGGCCGGCGCCACTTGCACTCTTGCCCAAGCCCACAGGCAACAATGATACGCCATTAAGCTGGAGGCTGATCGGTCTTCAGTGTCTTCAGCATCCAGTGGGCAAGAGCATCATGAAGATCGTCATTGCACAGGCTAAGTCCCAGATACACGACCTGGTTCGGCAATGGCCTCAATGCGCATATGTGCCCCACAGGAGTACCGCTACGGCTCTCAGGCGGGTCTACCGACATTGCGCGGAGGTGCGAGATACCTGCAGTCAACACAGATTGACTCTCCATCAACTAAAGGACGGCGCAATCGATCCAAGCATCCAAGAAGTCCTTCTGCAATGGCTCAGCCAGGTTCGTTACACTTTCCAGCACAAGCGTATGGAAAAGGACATCTGGCCTTCATGGGGATTGTGAGGCAAGGTTGCATTGCCAGTCCTGTTTTGTGGGCTGCCTTTACAGCATTTCTGAGCAGAGCCATAGACAAACGCATTGAGGAGCAGTGGAGCTCGAAACACTCCACGATGTACGCAGATGACACGCACTTACAATGGACTTTCCATAGCATCCACAGCTTTGAACAAACGATGAGCGAGCTGAAGCGAGTCATCGCTGTCTTCAGGCGGCTGGGTATGAAGGTAAACACGAACAAGACCAAGGCCATCATGCATATCGCTGGTAGCATGAAGCATCACATGAAGAAGCACTACATCAGATCCCGTGGACAAGAGTGCAGACTGCTTCTTTCCCCAGGAGACCTCACTGTTTGGATCCAACTGGTGGACCAGGCGGAGTACTTAGGTCTGATCATCTCGTACGACAACTTCGAACTTCAGTCAGTCAAACATAGAATCACTAAGGCTCATAACCGTCGCTGGTCGTTGGCTTCTGTTCTCCACACCAAGAAGGTCTCGATTCCCTACAAGCTCAATCTGTGGCGGAGTTGCATGCTTTCCACCCTGATGTATGCGTTGCACAGCCTGTGTCTTGGAGCAGGACAGATATGCCTCCTACAACGGGCCATCATGAAGCACATTCGGGCCAATGTCTCAGATCAGGCATTTATCACGGGAAACACCCATGAGAACATCATGCAGAAGTTTGGTGTTAAAACTGCACAAGAGCTCCTTGAACAAGCACATGAACGTGATCAGCAAACTCTGGACGCAAATGAGTGGTTGGTTGATCAAACCTGGAACCAGTCGATTTCCCAGGCTCTGTTGGCCTTTGCTCAAACCGCTGATCCCGAGTCGGACACTGAGAAAGCTATCTGGGCTTGTCCACTATGCTGAGCAGTTCGTCACCCAAGCAGCTCTCAAGATACACGCCAGGCGCACGCGCAAGATTGTGACACAGCGCAGACATTTTTTATCGACTCATTCATTCAATCGGTGGGCTTCTTCAGTGCTCAAGCTGTCTAAAGAGGTTCAGCAAATGGCAGTCGTTGGCTATACATATCAACACCGACGCTTGCACCGCTCAGGCGGTGGCTGACCCACCTGGAAAGCCCGATCGACAAAGTGATCCAGATCAATGTGATCAGGATCAATGTGATGTCGAGCCAGACCCCGAGAATGCATCCACTCTCACGAAGATTACTCCACTGATCGCCGAGGTGATCAAAGAGCGGCTGGATACTGCTTGCTCTCTGGCTGGCTGACCCCTTCCCAGACGTTTCCAGTGCGAAGGAGAGTATTGAAAATTCGGGCGGCAACCAGTCGATTACGTGTTCACAGAAAGCTGCAGACAACACCACTGATGAGTCCGCAGCTGCAATGCCTGTGCTGTGTCGAGAGCGTACTCATTTCATCGTGCAGAAAGGCCTGAACGCCTTCGCCGCTGAATCCAGCATCACGACCTCAATGCAGCAATCCTGCGCTCTGTGTGGACAATGGATAGCTTCACAGAAAGAGTCATGAAGACGCACTACAAGCACACACATAAGCTTCTGTACCAACAGCTAGCACGCAAAGCTCTTAGGATCATTGAGCAGAAGGCCACTCCGTGTGTACAGTTCCATTTCTGCCACAGGCAAACCAAGGACTGGAAGGCCCACCTGTTCAAATGTACCACACTATGGCAATGTGCTTTCCTTTGCATGCTACATGAGGAGCATGGCCGACGGCGACCTGGACTTGGAGGAGTTCTTTGGCGAGCTCCAGGGCACGGACATGCCGATGACACCCAGTGTTTCCCCGTGGCTTCCACAGACGGCGGAGAACCCCTTCTCTTCCTCAGCCAACAAGCGACGGAGGGATCCATTCGTGGAACAGCGGCCGGTTCACCATCATGATCCAAGGCGCCATCCTTTCCAGGCACAGATTCCACGACATCCCGGCAGAGACCCCTTGCTGTATACTTTGGCAACAACGGTGCTGCAACAACAGGAGGAACTCAAGGTTCTCAAACAAGACACCACCCTCGTGATCTTCATGAAACCAGGGGAGGACTCAGTGCTCAACCGCCTGTACAAGGCAGCAATGCACTTCAAAGCCAAACAGGAACAAGACCCCCTCCTGGCAACTGGGAAAGAGCCCACTACGAATGGTCTTAGCAGTGGCCCTCTTCAAAGAGATCACGGACAGACACAACAAGACCATAGCTTCCCAGGACAAGCTGAAAAGGGCGGTGGACCAGGGATGGAGGGATCCGACTGCTGGCTGGCGTTTTCAGGTTTGGCACCACAAAACCAAGCAGCTAGAGGTCGACAAGAGCAGATCACCCATCCCGGAGGACAAACTCCTTGACCACCTGGCCACCATCATACAATGCCTCAGACAACCCATAGTGACCCGCTTTCGATGCACCAGACGCTTGATGGAGACAATGTCCAGCGCAGCCACTTTCAAGAGTTGGATCTGTCAGTTCGCAGTCACAGTGCTTTGACTATGTGGGACACGATGAAGGGGTTAGTTGCAGTGAAACGCAGTTTTTCAGCTTGTGGGCATGGCCTACAAGACCGAAAGCCTGGCCAGAGGGCCAGCGCTACGGGCGGCGGTGAACGCACACGCCCGACCTATGTGCGCGACCCAGCTTGTTCTACAGAACGATAGCTCAATCTGCTACATGAACTCCGTCTTTCAGGTTCTGGTTTGGCTGATGGAGCAACTTCGTTTGCCGAGCATGGCGTTGAGTGGGGCAGGCGCGCAATTATTCAAGGATGTACTTGAAAACAAGCTCCAGATGCCACACAGGCTTGTCTGGGATTCTCGATGGCAAGCTCTGATCAATGCCTGGGGCGAGGTACACCGCCAGCATGATGTATGTGAATTCATTTCGCATCTCTTGCAACAGAATGACTTCGGTATGTTCGCAGGCACATGGCAGGCCAGATCGCCTACCATGGCAGGGGATGTGCAGCATGTGGACTCAGGACATTACACCCACTTCATTATACTCCACATGCCTTCAACCTATCCGTCAAAGTCAGCACATGCTCTCAGGATTCAACAACTGGTGGACACATGGTGCAGGGGCTTGGACAGGATACACGGTCTGACAGTTGCGCCCCCGGTCATTCTGCTACAGCTCCATCGCTTCACTCAGCAACGAGATCGCATAGCCAAAAATCATCTCAACATCCTGTTGGACCCAGTGATCCAGATGCCTTTCTTTTCGGGGGACAGGCACCAGCTCATACACAAAGCTTACAGACTTCGTGCTTTTATCGATCATCATGGTGCCACGCCTACCTCAGGACACTACATGGCCAATCTGGTCAGTGATGAGGGCTTCTGGAGCTGTGATGATGGCAGAGCGGCTAAAGTAAAAACTGGGAGGGATGAGCGACATCCCATAACCAAAACTGGTTATGCTCTTTTCTACTGCCTCGAAACCGCTCCACCTTCAAATGAAGGTCCAGCACACACTGGCGACACGCATGCTACCAAGTAATGTTCTTCGGAACGGTGTGTGTTGTTAATTGACTCTGTTTCGAGATGATCAAGTGTATCATGAGCTACAAAGCTCCGGGCATCCGAGATGTCTGATCGATCCCGGGGCTTGGCGACAGGACTTTCCTCGCTGCGAGTGAAGTTGAAGCTACTACTACTACTACTACTACTACTACTACTACTACTACTAGTACTACTACTACTACTACTACTACTACTACTACTACTTCTGCTACTACTACTGCTACTACTACTACTACTACTGCCACTACTACCACTACCACTACTACCACTACCACTACCACTACTACTACTACTACTACTACTACTACTACTACTACCACTACCACTACCACTACTTCTACTACTACTACTACTACTCCTACTACTAGCTAGCTAGTAGTTGATGCTACGGGGCGACATGTTTTGTCACAAGTACTGGCGCAGTGTGGAGCACGAAATTCGGGAGCACGGCGGGAATGCTACGCCCCGGCTCTCGGACCTTTCCCCAAGTACTGAAGCATTTCGGCAACACGAAACTTATGCTTCATACCCCCCCCTCCATGTCTCCGGGACCCAAAGGAACACTCGAAATCGCTTGCCCCCAAATCGATTGAAGGTGTTGGAGAGCCCAAGGCTGGTCTCCCGGTGTCCCGGGGTCTTCTGCTGCTCTCCTGGTGGTCTTGGTGGTAGTTATCCTGATGGTTCTTGGTAGTCCTGGAGGTGTCCAGTGGTCTTGGTTGCGTGATCGTAGGATGTCCTGTGACCATCGGGGGTCCACGACGTCATGGGAGATAGATTTGACAACAAGTGGGGGTGGGGGGAGTGGATGCCTGTCGTCCTTGTTCGCGTGAGCTTCTCCTACTATCCTGGGCGCGCAAGGAAGACATGCTCGAATTGCCGATCGCAGGTGGTACTGATGCGGGAAGGTTTGCTGGCAAATATGCAGCGATGCCATGTAGTGCTGCAGTAGATGTCGGATCATGTTTGGCTGTTGCACGTTGCCTGGCTATCGGCTGAGCTGTGGTTCAGGTGCGCTTCGCCGTATCAGCTACTACTGTCCGACTTGCCAAGTTGACGACAGCAACCCCTGCATTCAGTGCGACCGAAATTCTGCACCTGGTCTTGGCTGTGGTCGAGGAGAGCCAGGTGAGAGGTGTTCAAGAAGCACACGAATGGCCCTGCAGCAGTTGAGTGCAGTAGATTCCATGTCGAAACGTATTCTGGTCGTGTCGATGACACAGCAGAAGAAAGTTGCAGCAGCGAAGGGCTTAGGATTCGGATTCGACATGATCCTCCTAACAACAGCAACGGCTGCCATTGTTGGAACTCTCGCGACCCAGAGACTCCCTTTAACCCTCCCATATCCAACGAAGCGGATCTTGCGAGCTTTGCACCAGGTGCCAAGAGATCCCAGATAGACTTTGCCGTGGAGCTAGTGCGCCCGCACTGTTCCTGCGGGCAAGTCGCCTGGCTTGACCACAGAGATGCTCAACTTGAGGAGAATGAGCAACTTGCATCGTGCAGCTAGAGGCTTGCGAGCTGAAGCAAACCTTCAAACCTGGGCCAAACCGCGAGCGGCATTTCTTCACCTGTGCCAAGCAGCGTTGCCGCACCTTCCATTGGCTGGATGCGCAACTTCCGACCTGCGCTCATGGGCGCACGAAGCATAAGCCTTAGTAGTGACCACGACTGGTGAACATCTTTGCAGTTTCTGCGCCTCGGTGGTGTCAGTTCTAGGATGCGTCAAGTCCTCAAGCTCGGCAAAAACAACGGACGGCTCTTCGCGGCCTGCCCTTTGAGACATGGGTGTGGCTTCTTCCAGTGGCTCACATGGAAGGACCGTCCAGCGACTGCCTGTTTGCTGCGCACATCGAGCGGATAAGCTTTGAGGAATCTGCGATTCCTCAGCATGAACATGGAGTTCAAAGTCGACTCGCTGCGCACGTCACCAGAGACGAGCGAACGGCAACGTTTAGTGGAAGTGGTGCACTCTTCAGCAGGCTGCTTGGGTGGCAGAGGGTGGGAGCTGCAGAAAGGCTGTGGGGAAGGAGCATTGACTCTCGTCAAGAGCAGGTTTTCATGCCGCGACGAACATGAACCTCCATGCCAGTGTCCGATGCAGGCACAGCCGCTTGCAGTCCACCGGGTGTAGTGTTGCTGTAGAACCGGATGCAGTTACAACCTGGCTACACCTGAAGGACTCGAGCTGCAAAGCAGCTGGAGCATCGCAAAAGCGCGCAAGCGCGAAGCTTCAGATCTCCGGAGAGCCTTCCAAACGCCGACGATCCATCAGGCTGCGACACAGTAGTGCCACGCACCTGTCCTTCTGGATTTGCATTTCCCTGCAGGCCAGCGCAGCCCACAGTTGCATCAATGCTGGCGGCAGCTGAGCACTTTTCAACAAGCCCGTCGAGCTGTGTAATTGATTTGACATCGGAGTAATTAATGTGTAGAGTGCATCTGCACGACGAAAGAAATTTGATTCGTGGATGTTGCGACACTGCCAAAAACAGCTCGGCATGAGATCTCGCTAGGCTCATCTTGTGACCATCCAGGCATTGATGCTCAACATTCCTGCTCCTAGCTTCTGCAGGCCCTGAAGCTCAGAGAAGAGGCAGGGGATAGCGTGGTCACCACTCTGAGCCCATTCGGGTTGCCACAGACCTGACCCCCCAAGTTGTGGCAGCAGTTTTCCGAAGGACGCTGCATCTGCTGCATCCAGAGTACAGGACAAGTGCCAGGCGAAGATCCAGGAGTTTTGGGCTGAACCATGTGGATTTCCAGTGTGGGCAAAAGCTACCCAAGATCCAAAATGCTGAACATGTCCGACTTGGTGCCATTAAACGACCCTAATGTACCTCTACTTTTGCTTTTTGCATTCTGACAAACCTGCTGGGAGCCCTCCTGCGCTCGACCGAAACAACGACCGTCGTAGAGTCCAAACCGGCGCCTTGTGCTCAAACGTTTTTGACTGGCAGACGTCAAATGTGCTTGGGCTCTCACTGGCTTGAGCATAGGAGGATGCGGCAGAAACATGCACCCTCCCTGTACAAGATGTCGGGGCGGTTCTGCAGCGCACGAGCATCGGCTTGAGACAAGCCCTCTAACAATGCTGAAAACAGTCTGCGTCACCAGCTCAGTTCCGTGTTTCAAGTTCGCTAGCCCTCACTACTTCAGTTAGACTCAGACACGTTCAGGGAATGGCACCGGCACTTCCGCAAAAGCTATGTGAGCACGAGCCATGCCTAAGGACACAAAAAAGGATAAAGAGGGCCAGGACTAGGACGAGGTCGACGACGACGACAACGGGGATGATGATTAGGAGTAGGAGGAGAAGGAAGAGGAAGAAGGGATCATGAGGAAGAGCCGCGACGCCAACGGCCCGCACAGTGTCATACCAGGATTTGTTGCTTTGAGTTCCTGGTTGCTGTATCCCGATAACACTGGTACACCTGGACTTTATGATTGCAGTGTTGTCAAACCAAAATCTATGGCAGATGTGCACAGCAAGGACTAGGGCTAGTTGCTGGCGTGCTGTGGGATAGCATCTCAGATGCAGGAGCCGATCCCAACACCACCGATAGCATCAGTCCGGTTTGACGACCTGGACAAGAACAACGACGGCATTATCAGTGCAGCTCTAAGCACTTCCAACAGTGTTCAATCTCAGAAGCACCGAAACAGTACTCATAATTAATTACGTTTGTCACGACATGTGGTTTGCCAGTCCTGCGTCTCGGATGTAAGACGTCTCTTCGCGCAAACTTCTGGTGCCCGCTTGGTGGACGGTTGCATATCGGGGCGCCTGTGTAGACATGGGACTGGCTGGCAGCGTTGTGGTGTCGTAGTGTCGCACATTGCCACTGAAGCATTGCGGTAGATCGTTTGTCGGCCGCTGAATTCATGCGCAGCTACGGCCTTGGACCGAGGTCGTCAGGAGTTCGAGCAGTTCCAACAAGAAATGATCGCTCAGGTGGGAAAGCAGAGCGATGAATGCAAAACCCCTTCGTTGAGACCGTGCAGCGTGGCAGGCTGGTACTCCAACCCCCTCAAGGTCTCTTCCGGGCGAGATGGAGGTGGAGTCTGGAGTGCAAGGGAAGTCCAAAACTCTTAGAACTGTACGACGCTAAGCAGCGAAGCAGAGGATCAGCCGGAAGACCAGCCAAGCTCCCCGAGCAGGCCAGGTGCTCAGCTTCAAAGCAAACTGTGGATATCGGACGTGGCACAGGCCGGCCAGAAATCGAGCTTTATTCTCCGGTCCCGTGCGGCACTTAGGGCCATGCGCCGCGCCACGCTCTAAGCTGCAGGGGGGCTGAAACGCGTTAGACATCTGTTCCAGTCGTACTTGTGGTCGTAGTCGTGGCAGTAGCAGTAGAACTCGTCACCGAAGAAGTCGCTAGAAGTAGCCGTAGTAGTAGTAGTAGTAGTAGTCGTCGTCGTAGTAGTAGTAGTAGTAGTAGTAGTAGGAGTAGTAGTAGTAGTAGTAGTAGTAGTAGTAGTAGTAGTAGTAGTAGTAGCGGTGGTAGTAGCAGCAGTGGCAGCAGCAGCAGCAGCAGCCGTAACGGTAGCAGAAGCAGTAGCAGTAGCAGTCGCAGTAGCAGTAGCAGCAGTAGTAGTAGCAGTAGTAGTAGTAGTAGTAGTAGCAGCAGCAGCAGTAGTAGTAGTAGTAACAATAGTAATGACAATAGTAGTAATAGTAATCGGAGCTGCTACATAAGAACAAAGCTGTTGCTGGTTGTTTTTGCTGTTGGTGGCAGTGGTGGTGGTGCTGGTGTGGTGCTGGTGGTTCCAGCGGTTATCGGTTGTGGTGGGGGTGTTGGTGGTTGTTGTAGTGGTGTTGGTGCTGCTGCTGCTGCTGCTGCTGCTGCTGTGCTGTGAATGTCGTTGTCGTTGCCGTCGATGGTGTCTTCGTCCTCGTTGTCCTCGTCGTAGTTGCTTTTCTGTTGCGGTTGCTGCTGGTGCATTTGTTATTGGTGGTGGTGGTGGTGGTGGTGGTGGTGGTGGTGGTGGTGGTGTGGATATTGCTGACGGTGATGCTAATCAGGCAGATTTTCTGCTGACTTCATGTGATGGTTTCCTTTTGAAGTTTGCAGAATCATTTGTCAGAGTTTGGTTGTCCTAAGATTTGCGAAGACTTCCAAAAACCTTAGGATCCCTCCATGTGTTTTCAGCTTTCTAGACTGAGACGCAATCTGCAAGAAGCCAAGAAGGCCAGAAGCCAGGAACCCAGACCACAAAGCTAAGAACACAGCGGCCCGAGGCTGAGAAAATCTTGCGAAATGTTGAGAAATCCGTGGAGAAGTTCTGTTGCTGTTTTGCTTCCCCCCGTTGGTCGATCGGATCTAGCTGCTGTGCTACAGCGGGACCGTAGTTCTTGTAACAATGTTGCAAAGCGAACTCTTATGCAGTGGTTAATGAGGAAGCATTTGGCTTTTTGCAGGCTCGGGACACACTTCGCTTAGTTTCGCCACTTCAAGCGCCAACCACATTCCGTTTCTTACAATCCGTTTAGGCAGCTTGCAAATCTTTTTCAGCTCAAAAACAAGATGGCCCGGGACCTCAGGCTCTGAAACGAAACTTCCGGCCCCAGGAAGGACATCGGTCAACATAGGTAAAAGTTGCAAGAGAAACGAACAAACAAACAAACAAACAGTAGATGTTTTATCCGCGCCGCAAACTACACGGAAGCATGCGATTGACACAGCCAAAACCAGCAGCATGTGTAGCACGTTCCCATATCGACCAAGAAGAGCTACGCATCGGGAGCTGCTCTTGCTGAGGTAGTACGTTTCCCACAGCAGCGTTTGAATCGCGGGCCTTGTTCTTCTTTTGCTTGGAGCTGTGCATGTGATGATTGTGGTGATGAAGATGAAGATGAAGATGATGGAGAAGACGATAATGGGCTGCCTCTAACATCTACAGTCAGGCGGTTCTGATTCGCTGTCAGCTTGGCTTTGGTCCAAATGCTCCTAGTTGTCTTTCGCCGATTGTTTGGTTGCTGGTGGCTGCAAACCAGTTTTCCCCCTTCAAAAGCTTCCACAAAGAGTACCAAGTATGTGACGCGAGATCCTCGTGCTGGTGCTTCTTCATTTCAAAATCACCCAACAAGATGTGAAATGGTAGCGCGGCGGTTGCATGCCCTCCGCTCCGCGGTGAACCCGTGACGCCGCTCCGCGTCCTACAAAGCAACCGCCGTAAAATTTGCGAGCTGGACATCGCTTTGGATATCGGGGACCACAGCCTTGCAAAGCAAAACATGCTTTGAGCCATGGGCCGCGCCGCCCCAGCCCAGTGAATTAGTGAAGCAGCGCTAAAGGAAGTCCAGACAACGGGGATTGGCAGCCTCTTCGGTTTCGTGACGATGGGGTTCAGTTTTGGGTGGGGGTTCTTTTTGGGTATTTTTTATGGTTTTTTTTTGTATTTTTTACGGTTTTCGGTTCGGCGGACGCAGGACTCAGTCAGTCAGTCAGTCAACGAGCCAACCGAGCGGTCAGTCAGTCAGTCAGTCAGTCGGTCAATCAGCCAACCGAGCGGTCAGTCAGTCAGTCGGTCAGCCAACCGCGCGGTCAGTCAGTCAGCCAGCCAGCCAGTCAGTCAGCCAGTCAGTTCGTCTGCCAACCGCACGGTCAGTCAGTGAGCCAGTCAGTCAGTCAGTCAGCCAGTCAGTCCGTCTGCCAACCGCGCGGTCAGTGAGTCGGTCAGCCAGTCAGTCCGTCTGCCAACCGAGCCGTCAATCAGTGTGGCTCTCTGTCAATCAGTCTGTCAGTCCGTCAATCCTCTAGTCAGTCGGGCTGTTGATCTGGCGTTGCACCTGCAACCAGTGAGCCAAAAGAGGGGTCGCGTTTAAGATATATGATGAACCGGAACCGCCGAATTCAGGGGGCGTGTTTAAGATAGATGACGAGCCGCTATCACCAAAAGAGGGGGCGTGTTAAAGACATATGTTGAAACGGAGCCGCCAAAAGAGGGGGCGTGTTCAAGATATTTGGTGAACGGTTATCGCCGAATGCGGGCGCGTGTTAAAGATATCTGGTGAACCGGAATCGCCAAATGAGGGAGCGTGTTGAAGACATGATGAGCCGTTATCACCAAAAGAAGGGCCGTGTTTAAGACATATGGTGAACGGTCATCGCCGACTGAGGGGCCGTAATAAACTCGGTGGCAATTTGGGAAACTTTTTGATTTCCCGTATGGTTCCTATAGAGGTACCTATTCATAAATACTTTTCAAAGGCCCCAAAACTACAACCCAGTAAAGATATATGGTGAACCGGAAAGGGGTGTGTCCAAGATTTCTTGCATAATCTATGGTGAACCGGAATCGACAAATGAGGGCGCTTGCTTAAGATGTGATGAACCGCCGGTCCTCTTGCAAGTGCGTTTGCAAATGGGGGGGGCTGCGCCGCCCCCCAGACCCCCCCACCCCCCGCTTTCTCAAGTCCTGTTTTTCTTTAGCGAACTTCGTACCATCAAGAACGCTACGGCCATTTGCGATGGTCGCAGCAAGTCAAGCGCATAACTATTCTGAGACTTTTCAAATCCCGTCCCAGGGGCCCAACCCCCCTCGCTTTATGTTTGGGCCACGCAAGCTAAGATATGTGGTGAACGTTTTTCGCCGAATGAGGGAGTGTTAAAGACGTATATGGTGAAGCGAAATTGCCAAATAAGGGGTGTGCTTCATATATATATATATATATATATATGGTGAACCGGAATCGCCACATGAGCGGGGTTGTTTAACACGTATCATGAACCGTTATCGCCAAATGAGGGGGCGCGTTTATCATGTATGTTGAACCGTTATCGCCAATTAAGGGTGGTGTGTTTAAGCTATAGGCTGACCCGCAGTTACCAAATAAGGGGGGGTGCTTACCGCTTGCAAGTGCGTTTGCAAATGGGGGGGGCTGCGCCCCCCCCAACCCCTCCGCTTTCTTCAGCTCCGTAGTGAATTTGCTTTAGCGAACATCGTCCCATCAAGAAAGCTTTCTGGCCATCATTGGCGATTGGTCGTAGCAAGTCAAGCGCCTGACATATATGAGACGTTTCACAGCCCGTCCTAGGGGCCCAACCCCCTCCCCCTGCTTTATGTTTGGGCCGCGGTGAATGGTTTTCGCCGAATGAGGGGGTCTTGTTATCGCCGAATGCGGGCGCGTGTTAAAGATATCTGGTGAACCGGAATCGCCGAATGAGGAAGCGTGTTGAAGATATGATGAGCCGTTATACCCAAAAGAGGGGCCGCGTTTAAGATATATGGTGAACGGTCATCGCCGACTGAGGCGCCGTATTAAAGATATATGGTGAACCGGAAAGGGGTGTGTCTAAGATTTTTTGCACAAGCTATGGTGAACCGGAATCGACAAATGAGGGCGCTTGCTTAAGATGTGATGAAGCGCCGGTCCTCTTGCAAGTGCGTTTGCAAATGGGGGGGGCTGCGCCGCCCCCCAGACCCCCCCCCCCGCTTTCTCAAGCCCTGTTTTTCTTGAGCGAACTTCGTACCATCAAGAACGCTATGGCCATTTGCGATGGTCGCAGCAAGTCAAGCGCATAACTATTCTGAGACTTTTCAAATCCCGTCCGCAGCAAGTCAAGCGCATAACTATTCTGAGACTTTTCAAATCCCGTCCCAGGGGCCCAACCCCCCTCGCTTTATGTTTGGGCCACGCAAGCTAAGATATGTGGTAAACGTTTTTCGCCGAATGAGGGAGTGTTAAAGACGTATATGGTGAAGCGAAATTGCCAAATAAGAGGTGTGCTTCACATATATATATATATATATGGTGAACCGGAATCGCCACATGAGCGGGGTTGTTTAACACGTATCATGCACCGTTATCGCCAAATGAGGGGGCGCGTTTATCATGTATGTTGAACCGTTATCGCCAATTAAGGGTGGTGTGTTTAAGCTATAGGCTGACCCGGAGTTACCAAATAAGCGGGGGTGCTTACCGCTTGCAAGTGCGTTTGCACATGGTTCCCGATGAGAACGTGCGTGGATGCCGGTAAGTTGCTGCGACGCTGCCAAAAAAAGCAGAAGTGCCCGAATGTGAGGCCGTGCACAGGGTGTCTCATGAGCGCCGTGCACTATGTTGCATGTACATATGGCCCATCCTTGTAACGCGTACAGGTTCTATAGAAGCTAAGCCCGAAAACCATAAAAATTACCAAAAAAAAGACCTACAGCCAGGCCCTTTCTCGTGACACTTGCAGGTTTTTTAGCACTCCAGCACCGAAAACCATAAAAAATATCCAGAAAAAACCATAAAAAACACCAAAAAAAGACCAGGACCCTTCAGTTTTGGGCACGTTGAGGTTAAGGGCTCAGGGGAAGAACAAAAGCAGCTAAAGGATGCTTTCGGGAAACGTAACCCCGAAGCTCAAGCCATCTCAAGCCTGGCCGAGTCAGCCTAGTCCCTGACCTGCACAAGACAGAGCCAACAAATCTTCACCAAAGCAATACACTCGACGAGTCTTTGCCCTGGTGAATGTGGGTACTAGATGTTGCATTGCCAGTAGCACCGAAAGGTGGAGATCGATGGAGACAAGAGGCATGAGCTCTGTACAAGATCCCTGCTCGTGACTTGTAGCGGGTTACACTTGTGGCACGGCCATGGAGCTAGAGCTGTTTCATTGCCTTGATGGTGCCATGGGCAGCAATCTTGATTTCTGTATGGAAATTTATCCATGCTTCCCTCTTCACGACAGACACGGAGTGCTATATGCTGATCGCCTGGCTTTCTTCGAAAATTCGGAGGACAGAACATGGTTTGTCGTTGCCGCGTTCCATTTGTGCCCATCCCTGACCCTGGAGGACATCGTCTACTCGGCCAGAAGCTTAGCTGGTTGGCAGCAGTGGCGCTCAGCTGATCACAATCCGGTGCAGTTGGGCTTTTCAACGAGCCATGGCACATCCGCCTCATTATTATCGGCCATCAACATATCCTACGATGCCTACAGTCTCTTGCAATTCCCCATGTACTCTTCTCTTTGCTTAATGGTGTTTCGGAAAACGCAGGCAGATGAGGCTTTCGTGTGGCAAGTAGACGTCACTGACTGCCTATGACTGACCTGGCTTTTTCGCTCCCGCTACTTACGATGCGATCAAACTGCTTGCCACTCACAATCAGAAAAGGCATGTCAGACATAGAAATGAACCGGCCATACCTTCGGCGACTCTGCTGCTCTAACGATCTTTAGAGAAGCGTTCGCTTTTGATGGCTCTAGGGAGCTTTGTTCTCGTCCTTTTGCTTTTGTTCCAAATGCACTCATTTGCTCTATTCGGCACTCTGTTGCTTCCTGTTGCATTCGATTGTTCTCCTTTGCATACCAAACGATGCCTCTCACGTGTAGTCAGCTGCTCTCAAGTTCACCCTTTTGCTTAGCGCAGGCTCCAGCTTCAAGAAGCTGCCAGTCGACCCCATGCCTCTAAGGCTGTACTTTTCACACCCTCGACTTGTGCTCTCCATGGCATGAACCACCAACCCTCAGCTCTTCGACTGGACCCGGCACCTTGCTGCCAAGCTGCCAAGCATGCTGTCACGGCTTACGCTGATTCGTCAGAATTTCGTTCCCTCCACATGGCCCCGCAAGCCATGAGCCGTGGTCTTGAAAGGACGGAGTAAGCGACTGTAGCTGTGTGCTCGCTTTTTTGAGTCTGTTGCTGTGGTCTATGACATGTCCAGGAAGTTGAATGCAGCTGGCAGGTCTGGGGTGACCCCACGCATGCGCATAGATGGTTCGTTTACGTCGGCATGATGGATTGTGATAGCCGTCTTCACGTCCATCGTGTGCTGCCAGTCTGGCCAAGGATCCCACCAAAACCGTCCAACTACGGGAGATGCAAGCGGTTAAGGCGCCCATTCGCTCTGCTTCTGATCTACTCATGGCAACGCTTCGACAGTGATTCCAGGCCAGCCAAGGGATCTTCGAGATTCAAGCCGGGGCCGCGGCCGTGCAGTGCTTCGGAACGAGCACGGAAGGTAGTCTGGCCTGAAGCATGAAAGCTTGGGATTCACTGGGTAGAAATTGCCCTTCAGCGTCACTATGCTTGAGCTGATGCGATGTAAATTCAACAGCTATTGCGAGGATCCGTTCGCAAAAAATGGCTTCGATGATGTCCGATGATGATATACTGATCCTGCAAAAGGGACAACAGCCACAATGAAGTTTACTCAAGCAGTACTTCCCGGATGCTGTGTCGAAGAATATCGCAGCCTTTGTCGGACGACTATCGACTGTCCACGTGCCGTCAGAAGGTTCTTGAGCCGGGTTGTACATGCAGATCCTCGTGCCATATTTGCGAGAGGCTCCCCCCCTCCGGGTCATACACTGAGCGAGGGGCAAGCGGAAGCACGAGCTGAGGAAAAAGATAATGCGAAGCCCGTGAGCAGTGAAGGAAAGTGGGCTTGGGCTTAGGCTGCGGTGATGTCGAGGTCGAAGGCGACGGAAATGCTGCTCGCCTTTCCGGGTGTCGTTTCGATCGCTTATGTGAGCAGTCGCGGGAACTGGCGTGTCCACCGAAGCTGCGGTTGTCAACACCGTGTGCACGTGTCTGCTGAAATGCCAAAAGTGACAGCGACGAGCTGGAGCCGGAAAGCACATCAAATATCTTCGTCTTGATTTCTTCAGACTCTGTCGGTATCTGCACTGAATCTACATTGTCTTCAATTCGGTGCGACTCAGCACGCTAGACTGCACCCGGCACTGAGGCCCTGAGTGGGAACCTGAAGATGAGGTGTCGACATGCTTACGAACTGTGGCAGCCTCGCGCCCCAGAACTTGAGCTTGCGCTGCCTGCATTTCAGGGAGATATCTTCAGCATTCTTTTTGGACTGTTGAGGTCCATTTGTGAGCATTTCCCCGATTTACATTCTTGCAGCCTTCTGGGGTTGCAGAATTTATCCTCTAGCCTTCGGAAGATACTTGCTGCTTGTGCAGAATTGCCTCCTGCTGGCTCAGACAAGCTTTTGTGCAGTTCGTTGCGGTAGCCAGAAGTGTTGCCTTCACCGACGTGCCATGCCGAAGTTCCAGCGTCTTGACTATTGACTCATGCCGTTGCCAGTATGCAGCCCACGCAACTGCTGTTGCGGTGGGTCTGGATGACACGCGTCATGGAAGGCTGAAGCTCGGAGACAAGTGGGAAGATTTTGTGGATCGCCAGGATCTGAGTAGCTTCCACTGACTGATCGCATCCCGGAGCCTGTCTGAGTGTTTCTCAGGTGAGGGCGATATATTGATGAAGGCCCAACCGCATTCCCACATCCGTATCCGTGTGTGTGTGTGTGTGTGTGTGTGTGTGTGTGTCTGTGTGTGTGTGTGGGTGGGTGTTTGTGGGTGGGAGTGGGTGTGGGTGTGCCTGTGCGTGTGCGTGTGCGCTTTCGTGTGCCTGTGCGTGTGCGTGTGCGCTTTCGTGTGCCTGTGCGTGTGCGTGTGCGTATGTGTCTCTCTCCCTCTCGCTCTTTGTCTCTCTCTCTCTCTCTCTCGCTCTCTTTGTCTCTCTGTCTTTATGTCTCTCTGTTTGTCTGTCCTTCCGTCCGTCTGACTGTACGTTTGATTACTTTGTCCACATATTAATGTGTATGTGTGGTTAATTATTGTGATTAATGTATACACATGTATGCGGACATGCATATGTAGATGTGTGGATATATAATATGACACATATATAGATAAAGATGTGTCTCCGCACTTTCTGGCAGGCATTTCTCAATGGGAAGAAATCTGCGGAGTTCCACAGCCGAGGGCAGGAGGGAAATTTCAAGCTCATGCACTGCCTGACAACCGATTTCATCTGTTCTGTTCGGAGGACTACTATGTTGACTTTGCCAAGATGGTGCAAAGAAACGTAAAGTCAGGCTCGGCTTGGCTGAGCTTCAGTGGTTGCGGCTGAATGGAGCTACAGCATGTGTCAGGGCAATACACCGCATGAGCATGCAAGCTTCCGTGCTATAGAGGGTTTTTTCAAAGAATATCGACTCCACGACTCTGCCAATCTTTCGGTCTCACCTCGCCCTCAATGTATACTTCTGATGCCCCCCTAGATGACAGTACGCCTGCGTGATAGGATGCTTGGAATCAAGTCCAAAGGTTAATAGCTTGCTAAGGGTTGACTTTGCGGCAGTGCCCGTAGCTGTCAAACCTGGAAACTTCAGGTTATCAGCCGTGGATGGCTTGCAATGTCCTGTTAGGTTGTGCCTTGCCGCACGACGACAACGCACAGAGTGCGAATGCAGGCAAGAAAATTTCTACAGACTTTCGAGGAAGAACCAGGAGGTGGACACCTTCGTTAATAATCATGCAGTATGCAAGCGGTAGCGAATGTGCCGGTTGAAAGGAACACGGCGAGCTAGGCAGGCCTGAAAATTTCGGCGACCAGATCTAGGTCGATGGCATGGGAAGCAAGCAATCCTGCTACGTAGTGTTCGATGTGTCGGTTCATGGTCGTTGCAATTGACTAGCCACACGAAGTGCGCAGCATCGTTGGCTATGCAAGTACGAATGCCGGCACTGAGCTTCATGCGGACCTTGCTTGTCCTCAACTTCAATGGCATAGCCCGGCGGCAGAGGGACAAGTACAACTGCACAGGTTCTTGCGGCTTAGATTCCGTTTGGTAAGTATAAACGACACTGGAGGAGCATTGTGATTGGAGGCGCCATCAAATCAGGCAAGCCGCCTGTGCTCACTAATGAAGGTGGGAAGAAGGATGACAGCAGCTCATCAGAAGCCGATTATGTTCCACCATACCGAAAACAAGACATGCTGTGCAACACTTTCCAGGCGATCGCCACTCATAGATTGCCTATTCATCTGGGGGGTACAGCAACTTTTCCACGCCATCCCGAACCATTCTGAAGAGTCGGGTATTCCATGAGTCCACATCTCAGTTGGAGTCATAGCCCCAGAGGTGTGTATTCGTTCCCTTCGCGGTGGTGGTGGCCAAGACTTTGTTTTCTCGGCCCGACATGCGAGTGCATTGCGATTGCCCAAACACATAGCATGAGACGGGCTGCTGTCGTAAGGTGGGATCTGTTCCCTGCGCCTCTCCCTGTGGTGAAAGAACTGGCTCCGACGAGCCCTCCCCAAGGGTACCGCCAAGACACGAGCCTACGCACACCTCGATGACCTCAGTTGGACTCACTTCCTATCAGTTGACATTTAGTGTATCAATGCTTGGGATTCCTTGTCCTGAGCTTGCCAGTATGGGCTGACAGCAGAAGCAGCTGCGACTGTGTCGCTTGCCGCGTCTGATGCGCGTCAGCCTTTTAGACATCGAGAAAGTTTTTGATGGCAAAGTCTCCTACTGAGCGCGCTGCAAGGTTGATTTTGTCGAGTCCGAACACGCAGAATGTCCTGATCGTAGTTTCTGACTGGTCAACCGAGCTTTGCACGTACGCGACGCAGCAAAACCTTGTGAAGAGCGACGATCAATGATATTCAAACGCGAGATGATGACAAGGTGTCATGTGTGACCATCTATGAGGCCGCGCTGACCAGGAGAAGGATGTGCATCGACGTGAGATGCACACGTTGACCAAAGCCCGCCAGGGGGGGGAATTAGCTGGCCATGTCCTACTGCTACGACGGTGTAGCAGAGGACACAAGGTTCTTCTTTTCGGCCGGGAGATTCATGGAAATCCCAGTGCCAGATTCCACATTGGCGGTTTGCGACTCTTCGTTTGCTGAGAAATCACGACAATCAGCGGCACGGCATTGCCTTTGACAGCGGAAGTGTGGACTTTATGCGTCCATGTATGCGTCTAATGGCTAGATGGTCCTGGTTGTATGACTGCCTTTATGTTCTGCTGGTGTTTGGGGGCAAGTCCCCAAGGCAAAACACAGCTCGGGCACTAAGCGGTAATGCCAGGGAGCAGTTCTGCGGTGCGTAGTGTAAGAGACCGACGAAGATCTGTCGTTGTGCCGCATCGTAGACCCTGGCGAAATTTTAAGTTTCGCTGCGTGTCCACACTTCCCGTGCATGTTCCTGTGTGGCATACATGAAAGGTCTTGCACCACATAATCAATGCAACCGCTGCATGTGCAAGCCATTTCAAGCCTTCTCTGGAATGGTGAATGATGAGTGCGTGTTTGCTGCTTGTTCCGTTTTCGCCATCTTCGTCTGTCAGGCAAAGAGCGCCCAATCAAGATAGTCTACGATGATGAAGGCGGCGCCGTTTGGCAAGCTTTGAGTTTGAACCTTCTGCCACCTGTGCCAGGCAAGCCGGTCAAACCGAAGCCTGAAAAAGCCGAGTACCCCAAGCCGACAGCAGATCAAGCTCTACATGGCATGGCTGCTGGGGGCAGGCAATGCGGCAATGTCTTCGGAAGACATGACACGTTGTTGAGCATGGGCACATCACTGTGGCATGGCTGTGTGATATTTCAGTTTCTATATGTAAACTTAGCAAGGCGGTGCAGGTGCGGGCCGTTTTCATCGTTTGTACTGCTCAAAGCACTGGAATCACAACAAGGCCAACTTATTTTGATGAATTTGCACCGCTTGCATGTTTTAAAGTGTGAGCCATTGCCTCGATGGATGTTTGCGCAGTCTGTGGGGCTGCAGGAGCTTGAACCCGCGCACTACGCAATGTTGTGAGGACTTTGACCAACACAGGAGCAGCCTTTCAACGACAGCGAAGACCGGGTGGTCTCCGCGAAGCATTGCGAAGCAATGATTCCATGATTGTTCGGTTGAAGCAGCGTTGAGCCTTGATTACATTTGGGAAGAAGGCGGCATCTATTGTTTTCTGATTGTTTCCGTCTCGAATGTGCCGAGAGCAAGCCGCGCGCGATTGCCTTTGACGACTTGGCAGGGCTTGAGACTTTGCCGGTCTCGTAGCAAACACACATTCGCAAAGGAGGAAAAGTGCATATGCATATTTGTATGTCGCGGGACGCGTGTTAAGTTTCGAAGTCACCGAATCCCGACCGTTTCCGACTGCTCGCTAAGTATGTCGCGAGGCCACCAGTCGTGGAGGGTGCTGTGGTGGGGTACACCCCTGGAGTGCCACCGGCTCATGCGCCAGCGCTTGACTTAGTGGACTTGACTTGGTTGTCGGTGTTGTTTGGCATGGTGCCCAAGTTCTTTCGCGATGAGGCGGGACCGTCACCAGGTGCGAATTGTGAACTCACAGATCGTGTCTTCAGCAGCCTCAGCTACGTTAGTGGGCATGCATATGCTGGCCTGGCGATTCAAGTCGCAGTCGCTGACAGGCGTCGCGTATACCCCAGGTGGCGCGGGACCGGGCGCACACTATCATGCCCCAGCATCCGCACCGGGTCCATCCTACTATGAGACAGGACGGACCTTTGACTAACATTTTTGACGAGACGTGAGTTCGAGGGTGCCAGCAGCAGGCTTCACTCCTCCATATGCGAGCCCTGGTCACGCGCACTACGCGCCGGGGCCGGCCTACACCCCAGGTCCTGCATATGGACCTGGTCCTGCATATGGACCTGGTCCGGCATATGGTCCGTCTGTGTCCCGACTGATTCTGGCATGGGTTTTGTTGAGTATCGATTGGGGTTTAAACTCCACCATGCATTGCCACAATCTGCTACGTTGTCGTTGTTGTTGTTGGTGTTGGTGTTGTGTGGAGCTGCTGGTGGTGGTGGTGGTGGTGGTGGTGGTGGTGGGTGGTGGGTGGTGGGTGGTGGGGGGGGCGGGGGCGGCGGGGGCGGTGGTGGTGGTGGTGGTGGTGGTGGTGGTGGTGGTGGTGGTGGTGGTGGTGGTGGTGATGCTTCTGATGGTGTTGTTGTTGTTGTTGTTGTTGTTGTTGTTGTTGTTGTTGTTGTTGTTGTTGTTGTTGTTGTTGTTGTTGTTGTTGTTGTTGTTGGTGTTGGTGTTGGTGTTGGTGTTGGTGTTGGTGTTGGTGTTGGTGTTGTAGTAGTAGTAGTAGTAGTAGTAGTAGTAGTAGTAGTAGTAGTAGTAGTAGTAGTAGTAGTAGTAGTAGTAGTAGTTGCTGTTGTTGTTGTTGTCGTTGTCGTTGTCGTTGTTGTTGTTGTTGTTGTTGTTGGTTGGTTGGTGGTTGTTGGTTCTGGTTGTGGTTGTACGTGGTTGCTCTTGTTGTCCCTCTTGTCCTCCGTGTTGTTGCTATTACCGTCTTGCTGCTGCAGCTGTCTCCAGCTATCGTTTCGCCAAGAAAAATTGGCTGGATGCAGGAATTCGAGAGATAGTAGTGGGGGTTCGATTGCTTACTTGATGCAGGGACCTGGTGGCATGGGTGGTATGGGCGGTGGAGGAGGCACTGGCGCCATGTTGGCTGCTGGTGGTGCAGGAGTCCTTGGAGGACTTTTGTGGCTTGTCTCGTGTTGGCTTCTGCGCGTCGCCGTGCCATGTAAAGCGACTAGTGCGACCCTTTAAGTCTAAAGTGCATGGCAATCTCTTGGACGACGAGGTTGGGTGAGATCTTGGACTGACTTGCTGCCGTGCCCTGGCATTGCATGAGAGGGCTGGGCCTGCAACATGTTCGTCATGTTTCCTGGATTGTTTTCCCTTGATCTCTTCGTCTCAGCAGGTTTCGGGCCTGGCGCAGATGCCGAGGTCTCATGTCTCACCAGGCTGTGATGCCATTATGGCTCCGGCTGATAGTTAGGGTGTAAGGTCACAGAGTGGAAGGTGCAGGGAAGGCCCATGGCTGCTGGGGCCTTGCGAGCCTTCGTGTAAATGTTGGTATCAGCCCTGAAAGGGTTGACTTCCGTTACCTGCCTCCTGCGAGGGGGTGGTTCGGCCTATCTTGCTAGAGTCTGAGTCGAAGGCCAATTTCGCAAGAATCGGAGTTCCCTCCGCGCTTGCTGGCATGACATTCCTGCCGAGGGACATCATCAGAATGATTGAACGTGCACAATCTCAGGGTGTCTCGCTAGCAGCGCACTGCACAGCGGCATCTGCCAGAGGGAGATATTCAAAAGCCTGTCGGATGCCTGCGCCCCTCACGCCTGACCAGGTAGTGCTGTGTTTGAGTACCAATCTGACAGCCGTGAGTTTCCAGGTCGAGTCTTTCGGAAGTTCCGGCCTCAGGGCGTAGCAAGGTCTTGCAGTGTCATCCCGGCCAGCTCTGAGGCTCTGGGGGCGACCTTTACCAAGCATGTAAAGGGCAAGACCGTAGCTAGCCCAGCAAGTCCGCCATTCACAGCCTTTCGATCTCAGTTGCTCATGGGCGAAGGTGGAGTGGATGAACATCAGAGAACCTACGGGTGAAGCACTAAGCGCTCGGCAGTAGTCTTCGCGGTTTGCCAATCTTGCTTCTCGACGTTCGCATCGCTGAGACTCGCCGGTGCGGCTGCCCAAGCCAGGCCCAGCCCGGCGTGAAGTTTCGACTCATGACGCCATAGCTGCATAGCTCGCCATAGCTCTACTACAGTGTCAGACCCTTAACTTAACTACAACAACATGTGCTGGGAGTGCAGCTCTTCTCATCTTCGGCCGTGCTTGGTGCGTGATGAGAGGTGAAACTGGTTTTGGGGGGTTCGTGAGCTCTTCTGAGAGAATGTCCGTCTATGGCTGGAGCCAACTCGAAAAGAGCATATTTTGATCGCAGGTGCGAGTGCAAAGCCCATGCATCAGGGGCCGTTGAAAATTGCTAGATGCTGAGGCCATCATTGTCTGGCTATGGTTTGGCGAGTCACTAGCGTGTCACTGAGGTGCAAGAAGATGGGTCAGAGCAGGCCTGGGCGATGATTCTGTGAGAATTTTGGACTGGGGTTGGCAGCCCCGACAGATGCGCTACTTTCTGGTGTACAATGACCGCTTCGAGCATTTCACAGATGCGGCGAAGGCTCTTCGAGGATCCGGCTCCTCGGGAGGCTCGCCCTGGTGGCAGGGGTCATTGCTAACGACGGTTCCACACAACCTCTCCTCTACAAGGGGAACGTGTGGAATCTTGTTTCGCTGCGCAACGATCTGCTTCCGCAAGTTGCGGTGACAGCAAAGATTGCAGCTAAAGTGAAGCTTAAAGCCTGCCACACCTAGGACATCCTAGGACCTAGGGCTATCCACGCAGTCCAGGAGTGGTACATGCAATGGACGTAACCTCCGTGCGTGTTTTGACCTCAGCTTCTTGTCACATGGATTTCTTGTGGCATGTAAGCTGGCTAGCTCAGGTCATTGAGAATGCTTTTGTCTTCAAGCTTCGGCAAGAAAGTCTTTGCCCCGGCTGCAGTGGTGGTAAAATTGCTCAGAAATAGACGAGACTTACTAAGGTCTGCACGTCCAAGTTCCCATTGGCGAGGATCGTTATTGTACCTTTGTGAATGGGAAGCATGTGGAAGGAGAGAGAAAATCCGTTGGCAGCTTGCTTTCGGGCACAGGACATGGATCTTTGGGTTTCAGCGTTTCAGCTCCTCTTCCACCCGCAGAGCACCTGGCAAGTTTGTCCTCAATCTGTCAGCCGTCTGTCATGTCAAGCAAGCAGCCCACCCCCAGCATCACTTCCTTTGCAGGAACGATGCAGGCCATGCCGACGCCTGAGTGTTAAACGGGTGCGATGTGATGTCACAGATTTCATGTGTGCATGATGGGGTCTGTGTTGAAACTCTTGGAAGAATCGAGACAGAGGGTCGTGCCAGCCCTCTGCCGAGAACCCAACGAATGTGGACGAGCTGCAAGTCTTGCACAAGCGTGGCGCCTTCATGAAGGTGCGATCTTTGTAATTCCAGTGGTTGCTGAGCGGTTCATGTTTTCAGGACGGGGAAAGGCGAAAGATGGAGTCCAGCGACCTTGCCGCGGAGGCCAGCGCCCGTCCCGAAACACGCGGCCTTTGAACTTAAAGGGTTATGAATGCTCTCGGACAGTTTTGCTTGGATGTCAGCAATGGGGAAGATGCCGACCTCAGTCTCAGCTGAAGTAAACAGGTTCAGGACGAGCGCTTTCAGCATTGGCTGCATACCCTGCCGGTGCAAAGCTCGGGCTTTTCCAGTTCACAAGTAGAGAGACGAGCGTTTCTCGATCCCAGGCTAGACGATTTAGAGTGTTCGGTTTGAGTCCAGCAAAAGAAATCGCTTTTGAGCAGCCCTTGATCTTCCACACACTATTGACTTTAGGTTGCGTTGCATTACATGATTTGCCACAACATGCTTCAAGGCACTTTTGTGTTGACCTTCTCCTTTTTTCGGAATTCAACCATGCTGGCAAGTGTGCTTGTGCCAACGACCACCTTCAGTTGTTGGGCTCGCCGGATGAGGAGCCCGGCAAAAAAGTTCAAAATGGGGTACGGCCGGGTACGGCCCACACCAAGTCTGGTCGCGCGCACAGTCACTTGCTTTCGGTAATAATGTGTGTCCTGAAGTCCACTGACTTGTGTAGTTCGTCTGCCACGGATGAAGGTGAACTATCATTGTGTAGTAGATCAGAAAGTATCCAAAATCGTACTGCTCTTGGCTGAGGATACCACTGCTGGCTACCATGAGACTGATGCTGAAAAGCGAACATGTTAAAAACAAACGGGCAAGAAGGTAGCGAGAAACATCGACAAACATGCATGCCAGCATGTCGCATGCATCCAGGCAAGTTTCACTCATGGACATTGTGTCAACCCCTGCACTCACCGTCGACTGGCTGTGTGTCAAACGTGCATGTACAGACGAATGTCATCGATGTTGCAAAGCCACCAACGGCAAGGATGCGCCCTGTAGGTGGTAAACTGTAAGATGTCACAGGCAAACTGAAGTAAGTTGTGTGTGTGTGTGCGCGTGTGTGTGTGTGTGACACGCTGTTAGCAAAGGTCGCAAATCACAAAGCGCAGAGGGTCGCAAGCGGAGCTGCGTGAAACGTATCTCCGATGGCAGGGCGAAAATGTACTTGCTGATGGTGGAGTTCTGGTCCAGGTCACAACAGGAATGAGATGCTGAAGCACTTGAAATGAAGAGTGAAGAGATGTGACTAGCTGGAGAACCCATGTTTTCGCTTCGGCCCGGCTATATCGAGGGTCATTCCAAGTGTGCTTTTGTGTGATTGTGTGGCTGTGTGTGTATCTCAGTCCAGTTCCTGCAGCGTGTGGCAAAACGGGTTTGATGTTAAGCCGTTAAGCAGTACTGCTGAGCTGAGCCTAATGAGCTTGGCTGCCAGCGAAACCTTTTGTCCATGCTGTTCTTTCCCTGGCAGCTAGTTGCCCCCAGCAGCCACTGAAGCAACTGCCTGGATTCGAGCCGAGGAAAAGGTGATCCACTGGGGCTTGCTCGGTTTCCAACATCAACAGCGCCTGGTGGTCCGAGTCAGTCTTCTCTTCAAGGAGCGGTGCAGCTTAGTCATACAAACTAATGCAAGAAGGATGGGAGTCGCTGCGGCAGCAAGGTGGGACGCCGTATTGCTGTCGTTTAGGATACTGGCTCCGTGTGCGAGCCGCTGAGCACATGCCATGAATGGATTCTAGACTGCCTATTTGTGAATACGCCAGATTGATGACAGCATTTCCTGCCAGAGCGTCGGGAATCCAACCAGTGCCATCAACCAACACCGTACACCAGTCTGTTGGCGCAGGAGCCTTAGGTGGGGAAACTTGTCAGTGTAGCAGTGGAAAGGCTGTCGAAGGCGTGCTCCACTTCCAACACTAGAGGTTCGCTTCCACATTTTTTGCTCGATCACGTTCGATCTTCCTCGCAGAATCAGAGCTCAGGTTGTTCTGTCCCCGAGCGCCAAAACTTGCTCCGTCGCTGCAGACTTAGCGCGGGCCTGCCTTCTCCGCCTGCGTCCTTCTTATTGCCGACCTTCCAGACCGCGTCAACCAAAGCGGAAAGTGGGACCTGGGGGTAAGAGATGGGAGCAGGTAATGGAGATCATGGCATTGCAGGCCACTACACGTAGAACTCCATCGGCCTACAACCAGAAGTGCGCAAGGATAACTGGTTCCAACGAAAACAATCCGAGAAGAATCCTGACGTGTGAAAAGGCAAGCGACGCAGCAGCGCATGCTCTTTCGTTTGAGGAAGCAGAACCAAGTCACAGGCTTCTTTTGAAGCGTGATTGAACGGTATTGGGCTGGTGAGTGATCGCCGATGTTCGCGTAAACGGACCCGCCGTTTGCTTCAATGCCTGAGCTGGGCTGACACGGCCTGAAGCGGCGGCGAGAAGGAGTCGGACGAGCGGCCGGTGGCAGGGGAATGAGCCCTGGGCCTGGACGTCCGAAAAACGCTTAAATGTTCGCAGAGCCAAAAAAAACAACATATCAAGCTTATTTACGTTAAATGCCTTGACTTGTACTTTACATGTCTTTTAGTGATGGAACTGGTGGAAATACACATACAGGCTGCGGTCGCATGAAATCTCAGTAGCTGGTCTCGGCGGTACATGCTGTTCTGGTAGTCTGTCATATTGGAGCTTGCCACATGTTGGCATGTGCAGTCTGATAACGCATACTGATATTTCACCTGTTGATCCTGGTTCATGTCGTCTTTGGACGTTGCATATTCGTATACATACAATATATGTTGGTTCAATTTAGCATGTTCTAGATTCTAGATAACCCTTCAGGACGGATGTTGAAACATTATTTCCTCCCTGGCTTACTGTATCTTTTGCTGTTGGATCGTTTTGTGTTTCGCCGAGTACTTGGGTGATTGATCTAAAGTGTTCAGTGGGCAATGCTTCGACACCCACTCGCCCCGCACAAGTTAATGAGACCGTCCTGCAAGGAAGTCAGTCCACTTACATTCCATATTGGACCGATGACAGCGGGTCGGGGTATAGCATGGCCTTGAAGAAATGTTACTCTGGCCCAGAAATCGCAATCTTGGTTTCGCAGCGAAGGAGTTAGGGCGACAAAGAGACAGAGATTGAAACAAGACACAGTAAACTAGCACATCCATGTCAGTGCTTCACAGGACAGGCTTGACAGTTGGAGCAGCGCTTCAAGCGTCTGGGACCCATCCGTGGCAGCGTAGAAAGCATGCGTGACAATGTTTACATGCAAAGCACGAGCCACCGCTTGTGAGATCGCAGGCCAGCTGCGGACTGAAGGAGGACCTGCAGATACCAGCTGATGGTACAATGCATGTTGGACTTGCAGTCTTGAACCTTAAGCTGCCGTTTTAAACAACGGTGGATGGATGCTCACAACAGCAGCTACGGGTAAAGAGCACCATGGCCAGCAATCTCAACCAATTATCAGCTAGGCCATTTTGTTCTTCTCCGCAGCGGATACCGGGATGTGGGTGAATCGCACAAATGCTGGGTTTTGGCTTTGTAGCATACTGCTCATGTTTGATTCTACCAACACGTCCTGTGCGCAGGCCGGCCATGATGCTCAACCTTAGCAGATCTTCTTCCGTAAGCTATCCAAGATTGACCAACATCGGTGGCAGAGGTGGAGGCTTGCCTGTCGAACGGGTTTCAGAGTTAAAACTGGCCAAGTTCGGACAGCAACGTGCCGCGGCACCTGAGTCGGAAACTCTCACGATTGCCACCATACCGAAATCAACGGTTCTGTTTATCATGACATCAAACGTTAAGCTGCTTCCAACACCACAGTTTGCCAAGCACAACAGCAGACATCCGGAGCTCTTGAGGGATAAGGCTGTGAAAGACTTGGCGACACCTGCAAGCTTACCACTGACACCGAAACTTGCGCATGGCGAGTCTCCGCCTGAGCCCCTAGGCCTCTCCTCATGCTTCTGCTGCAATTTTTCGGTTTTCGCTGATAGTCAACCCGGGATCGCGCAGTGACCGAGAAGGACCACCGAGCCACGCGAGGTCTTTGACAAAAGCCCAAGCTTGAGCAGCAAGTTGTGGCAAAGTGCATTCGGCGAACTTAGGCAACAGCACAGAAGCACTACTTGTATCAACAACAACAGCAGCGGTAGCAGCAGCGGCAACAACCACATCAAACACAACCATAAGCATCAGCAACAGCAACAACATCAGCAGCCGCGACGACGGCTTGTATCAACAACAGCAACAACAGCAGCAGCATTAACAAGCACCAGCAACAAGCACCAGCAACAAGCACGAGCAGCAAGCACCAGCACAAGCAGCAGCGACCGCAGCAACAGCAGCAGCAACAGCAGCGGCAACAGCAACAACCACAACCACAACCACAAGCATCAGCAACTGTCAGCAACTGCAACAGCAGCAGCAACAACAACAGCGGCCGCGACGACGGCTTGTATCAACAACAACAGCAGCAGCATAAACAAGCACCAGCAGCAAGCACGAGCAGCAAGCGCCAGCACAAGCAGCTGCAGCAGCGGCAGCGGCAACAGCAACAGCAACAGCAACCAACAACCACAGCCGCAAACACAACCACAAGCATCAGCAACAGCAAAGGCTACAGAAACCACAGCAGAACACATTGCACTGGGCAGCCCAAGAGAAGCCGGAACTGCACGACTACACAGGCCAGGAGCAGCTGCAACAAACGTAGGATCACATCGCCGGCATCAGCATTACAGGCAATTCTGCGAGGTGTTTTCAGCTTGACACCTGTGGCCGCCTGTGCGCTTGATGACGGCCGCCTCCAGACAGGAAAGCCGCATCCTGATGTCAAGCATTCGTGGTCTGGAAACCATCAGCGGAGGCGATGGGCAGACTTGTGACAATCGCATACGTATGCTGGAGTGCAATGGCTGTTGAGGCCTCATTGTCAATCTCGGTGCCGACGCCTTAAAATGGAAAGCAACCCCACGTGTCATGGTCTCCTGTCGGATAGGAAGCTTCGGATGTCGATTTGTGGTTCTCGTTTCCAGAGTCCAGAGATGAACACCCGACATGTACAGTCAATGTGCAGCGCCGTTGAACCATGTTTTGCAAAGGGCAAGAAAGTGGGCATCCATGTGGGTGACAATGAGAACTTGCACCAGTGGCCTCAAGCCTGGCATTTTCCGCTTGCCTGGTTATGCAGCAAAGGTTGATGGGTACCGAGAACCACTGACACATGCGTGAGTTTGCGTGACAGTGCCGAGGTCCCGCGCCCTTTTGAGTGTCTTGGCGCCCAACAAGGTTTCAGGGCCTGCTTCACGTTTGCAGTGCTGGCGCCAGTCCCGGCCAGGCTGAGAGATCATCAGCAAGTCCGCGGACACCAGCTGATCGACCAAGGTGTTATGGGGTGTTGACTCGTTGACAGCCTTCACGACTGCACTGTATGCGATCACGAAGCCAGGTCTCAGACACCCACGCCCCGCTCAACGCCTCGCAAAGGTCGTGACTGGGTTCCAGAGGCAGCCTCGACGGCAGCACTTGGCCCATTACCGCGCCGTGCTTGGGCAGGTCGCGTACAAGAGCACAAAGTCCACACAAGCAGGTGGAAAGCAAGGCATCTTTGCCTCGTGCTGGTAGTGGTAGTGGTGGTGGTAGTGGTAGTGGTGGCAGTAGTCGTAGTAGTGGTAGTAGTAGCAGTAGTAGTAGTAGTAGTAGTAGTAGTAGTAGTAGTAGTAGTAACGGTACGGTAAGAGGAAGAGTAAGTAGCGAATAGCAAGCAGTAGGTACAGAAGTAAGTAGTAGTACTAGTAAGTAGCAGTAGTACCAGAAGTACTAGTTGAGCAAAGAGTTGAATTCTCCACATCCGGGAGCGTCTTCGGAAGTCATGTGGCACGAATTCAGTCGCAGACTGTTGAAAACGATAAGGTCAGATATATGTTTGGGGTATGCCGTATGGCGGTATGATATGTAAAACGATATACTGAGCCCCTCAAAACGACTAGCTCATTTGTGGGGCTTATCGTTTTTTTTTGTTTTCTCTCTCTCTCTCTCTCCTTGTCTCTCAGTGTCCATGCATCCGGAGGCCGAGGAAGGCTTCGAAGAGTTAACGAAAAGTGAGATCAGGAGACATGGCCTGCAACGATATTGAAACGATATCAGAACGATGACCGACATTTCGATAAGAGTGTCATGTCTGAACACTTCCCGATTCATTATCGGAACCCTCTCTACCAGGTCTCTACCAACAACCCTCAGCTGTGTAGTGAAGTTGTGCCTGCATGGAAGAGAGCAGTCATGTCCTGGTGTGCTCTCCGCAGCTTCGGCTTTCATGTGTTTAAGGAATCGTTCTCGACATGACATGACTCGACATGCTTGCTAACGACTTGCTGAATGAACTTCATGACGCTTATGCCGTTGATGTCCGGTTGATATGTAACATGATGTACTGAGCCCAAACACGACATTATCAAGATTTCGCGTGAGCCAGTATTGCCCATCGCTCAGTTCGAGTACTAGTACTAATTGTAGCATGTTCGTGATGATGATAGCGCTGATGCTGGTGATGGTGATGATGATGATGATGACGGTGGGGATGAGGGTGGGGATGACGGCAATGATGACAAGCATTACTGACGTGAACAGCACTCGTTACAAGTTGTGTTTGTCATGTTGACTCAATTTGCTTCGATCCATGCTCATTAAGCCAGTTGAAAGCACTCCACCTTTCACGAACGCGACTGTGACAGTCAAGCTGTTGATAGATCCGACCATCCTTGGTCCGGTTTCCTGCATCAAGCAGCGAATGCACAGGTGGAAGCCGAGCCGGTGCACAGCGATTTACAGTCATGCACCGCGGAGTTTCCGTGGATTCCCTCACGCATTTGATGAAGGACAAGACATGTCAGCGCTTCTTGATTGTGGTTTCATCATCAGTTGGGTGCGGCTGGCCACTTCGGAGGTTCAACAGCCTGAGAAGCGCTTCTACGTGCACACCCACAAGGCCTGCAAGTTCTTTGTGAACAGACGGTAAGAGGCAACGAAGCTTGATGTTGAAGTTGCGTGGCAGGGTGGGACAGAGGCCGTCGAAACTCTGCATGGGTCCTGCGCCTGGAAATTCCTGGAACCTTCTCGACCTGGATCGTGCTTCTGCAGAGAGGTGAATTCGCCACTGTTGTAATGCAACCAGGCTTCGATGACTGCCAACTGCTACGTTCTAGTCCTGGAACAGATAAGCTGGACAGAGACACCAGATTCCCTGAAGGTGAAAGAAGCATGCCAAACCGAAGAACTTTCGAGCCGCAACACGGCACGTCAAGAAGAAACAACAAATACGTAGAAAAGTTGGACATAGCCTGACAGTGAATGGGCAGAGCAGAGTGAACGGCTCCGACGGAATGCAAAACACCAGTTGACCAAACCAGACAGCATAAGCCTTTCCCAGTTCCGGTACTTGAAGGAAGATGCGACCTGCAATGCTGCACAACCACCGCCGTGCAAAAGCTGCAAGCGAGTAGTCAGTACAGTACAGTCGAACGACCGTGCCTGAGCATGCCAGACTGGAAAGTCGCTGAGGAAATCCGGAAAGTTCCTGGCTTCGTCACATCAGGTTGGTAGCTCGCTGGCGCCTCAGATTTTTGCGAAAGGTCTGAGGAGCAATCAAAATCAGAACTTCCCTTGTTTACAGCATCCCTGCAAGAGGCACGTCCGGGCCGAGATTGCTGCGAAGCCATACTCGCGAAGTGAGTCGAACTCCGCTGGGTGGCTCAGAGCTTCTCCTGAGATGGCTTCACTCGACGAGAGCCGTTCAGGCAATCTCAACTCGGAGCACCTCCAGAGAAGAGGGGTTGACATGGAAGGTGCACACTTTGCGACTTTGCGCTGCACTGAGGAATGTACTGAGCTGTCGTATGCCCGAGGTGACGGGAGAAGATCGGCAGATTAGCCCAAGAAGACGCGTAGACCACAGCCTGCACCTCGATGTATCTGCCCATGCCCAGAGCTGCAGAGATCGGCAGAGCCACACAACGACATGTCGGACCCTTCGGCAGTAGCGATTGAGTTTCGTAGTCAGCCCAGCCCTGGTACTCGCATCGCGCATGGCCTTGCGGCCTTGTCTGCACGTGCCGCGCTTGTGAGCTGAGCATAGCTGAGCTGGCGGGCGGTGCCCGCTGGGTGCAAACCGCTGTTTCGACTGGCCTCGGCTCTGGGCTTGCGACCGACGTGTGCGCTGGAGAGGAGACCTCCGGCAGACTGCTTGGATCTGTCTCGGACTCCACTATACGTGCAGGCACACGCCACAACATCAGTCCGTCCCCCTTCTATCTTACAGCGCTGCTGCGTTGCCGCAATTGTCAGAAGTTGACGACAGCACGGTGGGGACTGTCGGCCTCTGCCGGCCT